GATTGAGATCATAAATCGATTGATGTTAGATCACCATTGAAAACTTGAAAGCACTGGGTTCGAATCCAGAGAGCGGGATCGTGGATGCACACTGTTGAGGAGTCCCATACTAAGACGAAATGACCGTCCAGTGCTTCCAGGTTTTCAATGGTGATCTAACATCAATCGACTAATTATCTCAATCAAAAAACGTATGACTAGTTTGCATTATTAATGTGGTATTCAATGGGATGTCATTGAAAAATGGTGAAAAATATTCAACCAGTCTCGAAATTCTCAAAAGTCCATGACCATGAATCCTTACTGTACTAAACCGAATACCTTCACAGACCGCATGCTACAAGTATGATACTTTCACATAATTAAGTCGAAGATTAATGCTTTAGTTTACGATATACCACTATCTAGTATTCAACAACCGTTAGAAATTAGCCTGAAAATGAGTTCCTTGAAGTCCAAACCACTAGCCACCACCTAGAGTCAGACTCACTGAGAGTTATTATTCTCTATTCTATATTGACAAAGGCGTAAAATATGATCTTTTGAACATGCGTTCTGCTCGGAGCAGAGAATTCCAAAACGATGATAAGCCTTCTGAGTTAAATATCCGTTAGTTTTCAATGACTTTTTCGGCTGGCATTAGTTTGTTTATCAGAACTTTCACCTAAATCTTAATGATCAGTTTCACAGTAGTTAGGTGTCGAGTTTAATGTAATGCACTAATTCTTAATATAAAGTCACTATTTTATTAAAAGGGATCTCAATATTCGTTATTTCATGTAAAATTTACCATACAATCCTTTTAGTTTTTCAATGATCACTTGTTCATTAATATACAAGGTGGCTAGTATAATGATTTTGTTAAAATATCTTTGGACAACTTTGCAATTTTACACAACACACAAGTAAAACGACTATTGGAAACCAGAAAGCTTTGGACAACTGTCTTGTTCTATTGTTTAATTCTACAATGCTGACTCATCTCCTCGACAGGGATCGAACGCCACACCGCAATTACTTAACATCTAGACTACTGAATTGCCATTCAACGGCGTAAATTTCTAAGTTCAATCAATTTGCGAGATTGAGGGATCATCATTCAATTTCATTCGTAGGCGATTTCCACAATCATGATGCGACTAACCTCATTATTCACGGCTTCTCCCTAGGACCCTGGGAATTCCATCTCCAAGTTAGTCACTAGTAAGCATATAATAATATTTCATACTTTCATATCGCGAATCGATTTTAGTTGGACGGCTGAAAACTAGGACAACTGTTTCGTCCTTGTATAGGACTCCTCAGCAATGTCCATTCACAACTACGTTGGGGCTCAAAACTAGGATTTTTGGGCTTTTCATCGAGAACTTGAACTTCACACCACTAAGTTAGCATTCAGTCAATTTTTACAAAATGGCATTTATTTTAAAGTAGATCAATAGGAAAAAAACATCGAAATAGAAAGCAAATACAGATTTTTTTATATAGACCTACGTCCCATTATTTAATAGCATACATATTTCATAAAAAATTGTCACTTCATGTGACCACTGACTGAAGTAAAGAATTTTTTATGCTAAGTCGAGAATTCAAATAAACTTTTACGTTACGTAATAGCTGTCGCAATAATGAATTAGTTATTCATAATGAAACTAGAGGATCAGTGTGTTATTGAATAAATCGAACTAATTGTTGAATTAATTCGTTGGTCCCTTCGTTTTTTTACACAAAACTCTAATGCAGACAATAGAAGATACCTGAATAAAAGAACGTAAGTGGTCTCCATGATTTTCCATCAGAAAAATGAGTGTTTATCTCATATCTTACGGTGAATTATTGGTGAAAGCGATCATTTATAATCCAATGGGTAACAGTTTTGAAACTTCAAATCATCCACTCTAATTTGAGATTTAGTGTTTTATCATAAGCCATAATATACAAAAGTTTGTATCACAATTGAACAAATGAAACTGTGCTTAGTCACTAAGCTGCAACAGCTGTACCTATAAAATGTACAGGATCGTTACAGAACTCACTGAATTTAAAAATGTATGATGCTATTGGTTACTATTTATGTGGAAATTTCTGTTATTAGAAAGTAACTAATTAGATTGAGAATCTATTTTCTTTGTGAAATATAAATGTGAGTTCTAAATAATGATTAATTACATGCTCTAGCAAAATCAGATTTTCTCAAAATGTGGGAGTCAAAACAAGTATTTAAAACTATTTGGGCACTATCGGCTGAATGTACCTACAACCCGGTGTTGGTATTCACACTGTGATTCACATTCAGTCAGCTTCTTTTAAAACGTCGAATCCCAATGTGAACATCAACACCAGGAAGTAGGTACATGTAACTGATGGGTTTCAAGTAAGACAAAATTCGTGTCCTAAATTCCACTACTAGCCAAAATCCAGATCTAATAAAACTTATAACTAAATGACAATAACGAAACCATTCGTTCCGGATACGTATACGCTAATAGAGGCTAACCAAATATAGGAATATACAATTACACGTAATTTGCCGATAGACTTAATATTATCTAACCTCTTGATACATTTTTTATCAGCTGGACTGTTGAACTACAATTTTAATTTATATTAATTGTATACTGTTTTGATTACACATACAGAGTAGTTATAGGACTATCAGGATCAGAAAGAAAATTAAACTTGCGATCATTTTAATGTAGATAATCTTGAATGTACTTTAACCGAGTCTAAGTTTATATTGAGAAATATTGTGACATTAAAACAAAAATAGTAAACTGTACTATTTTGTAAGGAACTTTCTCACTTATTTGGCACTCGATATTATTGGCATAAGAAAAAAATATATGTAGCTGTATCAAATGATTCGAAGTATTTAGGAGTAGAAATAGTTTATTGAAAAATTGTTAGGTGTTGTAACTAGACCAAGTTAGAGCCTAGTAAGTTTGTCATGTATAATAATATATTATATATACTATTCGATTAACTGACTAACTATATGTTCAATCCAATCTTGTTTTCAGCTATTCTCTTTGTCAATTCCAAACTATGACGAATAACCACTAATTCCTGTTAAACATTTAATTACTCTAAAGAAGTTTATGTTACGAATCGATAGATAGCTATAGAATCATTGAAGACCATGAAGTATTTGACAAACCTTTTATATTAGTCAAACTTTTAAGCAGAACATTCTGCTTTCTGATGGACTCAAGCAAAGGAACTTCAGATCACGATACTTTTAAACCATTTGGTTAGACATTCACTTATTATTTCACAGCTTCAGTCAATCCCGGACGAATTTCTACTCATAAATCAATCAACAAAACAGAAATAGTTTCGATAGAAATTTTTACAGGTCAGTCTAAAAACTGTTCAATCATAAAAATAACAATATTAATTACAGAAATTAGTCAGTAGACAAAATTTAGTGATTCATAAGCTGACCAAAATAAATTTGGCAAACGGTCAGAGTAAGCAGCATTATATATTTAGACACTATTAGTAAATTAATTGAACTTTGACCTCCGTCAAATACAGAATTCGAATATCAGCTCACCATTTCAAAAATGTTAATTAGAAGTTAGTTGTAAATAATGATTTTTTTGTATAAATAGGAGTATTTTACAGTGCCTATTAAACCATTTAAATTGGCGTCATATAAACTTCCTTCCTTATACAACGCAGAAACAATAACTATTGATCCAAATGAACTAACCATATTTAGTTTTTTCTTTTAAAAAAAGATGTGATTATGATAGACAATAACTGAATTCTGTTAGGAATTAATAATAATTAGAGAAGTAACAAAAATGTAATTGTATTTGAAACTATCTTGACAATTAAACTTGAATACAGTTCTTTCACATAGTTCTATATAATCAAAGTTCAGATATATATTGTCAAATAAATGACAATAGGTGGTGGAGAAGATTTGTAGCTCAGGTGGATGATTTTGGTGGAGTTTTGTTCTCTGAAGTTTGTGCTGATGATGTCGTTCAGAAGAACGATGAAAGCTCCACGACCAAACCATCCAGCTCAGAGAACAAAACTCCACCAAAATGACAATAGGTCGACATGTTATCCAATCCTGTTGGCTTACAAGAGAAATGAAGTTGAACATGTAAACATTAACAAGTGCAACATATTGATTAATTCAGTAATTTTTAATATTACATTTGAAAAACAGAAAATGTCCTTTTAACTAGTTTGTTTTTAAAATATGCAGAATATTAGAAGCCAAGAAAATAAATTCAGTCAGAACATACAATGTCTTTGTAAAGTTTAATACGAGATTGGTTTTCACTGGATGGACAGTTTAGTTTATACAAATTAAGTCAGAATTAGAAGTATGCAATACAGCAAACAGTGATAGCGCTAAATCTTATGTACTATTGATAAATAACGATAAACTACAGAAATCCTCAAATAATTAAATGAGGCTTAATACTCTAGTCATCATCGGCTATATCAAAGTTCAATCAGAAATTCATCAGTGTTAGGTTATCTAACCTTTTTCAGTGTTTAATAAAAGTATTATATCTAGTATTTCTAGGCACTTTTTCATTTGTTTAGTGGGTGGGTACTGTATAACATCGTATGATTTTCACTGGAGATTTCATTTCAATCATTTAAAGCTGTTTACATGCCTTCTGAGGACATATCACTGTATAAACCCAACTTTTCAAATGAAAAATCAAATAAGATGAAATTGAATTATGCTCATCAACAAGACGTCAGAAACAAATACACTTGTACATATCTTCAAGTATCCAGATATGTCCACTTATACTGTAATTCATTAAATCCCTATGAGTGTAAATAAATGGATCTGTTTTCAAGCACAAATAATTCCATTCTTGTTTTTAAACAAACAGGTACTACATGACACCAGTTGAAATAACCTAAGCCGAGAAGTTTAAAAGTAAGCATAATTAAACAGAGTACAAAAAAGACTAACATTAAAAGATTATTTCCTAATAAAGAAGCAACAACACTAGTTATGCAATAAATTATGAACCATATCTATTTTTGGTAAAGGGTTTCAAATGAGAACACGCTTTATGCAAATTAAAATACGCTTACAAAAAAGACCGACATTTCACTCAGCATTTAACAATAACCAGTCGAACAGTCAGTATAACAATGCAACATCAATAGTGTGTTATTACTAATGTGTCATTAAATGCTCTTCGCAAAAAAAACGGGAAAAAACAACACATTTGAGTGGTGAGTGATACACGGTAAAATAACGAATAACCAGATATAAATGAAGCCAGCAAAAAGGAGTGATAAACAAGACAATAAAAACTGTAAACAACAACAAATGGGGTTCATCATGGAGAGAAGTAACGACACAAGTCAAAGAAAGTACGCTAAACTGACTGAATCTGCTTGTCTGTGTATAGCTAGAAGCAAACACTATTAGCATAGGTACAAAGTTTTGCTTAACTATACGAAAACAAAATCCCGAGAAACGCTTGAAAATAATATGATAGGAAGCTTTTTGTTTAATGGTGTAAAAAGAAAGAAATCAGAAATTTATTACAATAAATAGTAATCTAAACACAGTGGAAAAAAGAAGAGATGATGATGACGGTGAATACTGATCAGTTAAACAAAAGAATGAGCAGTTCTTGCAATCCAATTTCCTCTTCCTTCTACACCAACAAATAAACTTGGCGTTTTGAAGCAGAAACCAACTACAAAAAGCATCTCGACAAACATTTATGACAACATAAATTTTCTCTTTATGAGATGAATAACGAGGTTTGAAAGGAGTTATTTTTATTTAAACATAAAAGTATGGAGTATGAAAATTGGTAGAAAAAATTTACGTAATATAAATTAGAGAAAGGAAGAGCACAAAACTATTATACTTCTTACATGCTTTACAGTTTCATTTGTCATATTTATATAAGAAAAAGAATTATTGTAAGTTAGCTTTGGAAAAAATTTATCGTTGTTCATAGAACTTGGAACGACTCGGTATAATCATTGTAGTTGGAAAATAGGCAACTTATTGTGTTTTTTCCTTTCGACCACCGCCAATAATTGGTAACTTTTCGAGATGCGTTTTAACCCTGCGAAAAAAAAGCTAATTAGTCAAGCATTCACTATGCATATAAAGTGATATTCACTTACAAACAATTCATATACGATAGGTATTAGCACATGTCTGATGACGATACATTTAAGGTTAGTACTAATAATAGTCAGTGGGCTTATTAGTGTTTGACGTAGACAAGAAATCCCCAAAATTTTAACGAGAAGCCGTTACCGGTGTGTAGTTCAACCATGTTGGGTATTGAACAAATACCATCGATGACAAAGGATAAAGGTTATACAGTATGGTGAATTGATGACAAAAGTGAGAACCGCTGGATGCCAGACTATCATCAGATTGTAGCTCGTTTTCAAAATGGGTTTCGTTTTGTCAGATATATAAAAGAAATATCTGGTGTAAACAATTACAGTTAAATGATACACCAAGAATGTTTTAGAACGATATCATATGTTGTGATGATGCAATTAATTTAATTTCTAAGTATCAATCAGGAGAAGCAAGAATAGTGAAAAAAGAACTCATATTTAAAATCTTGGCAAATCTGCCTTCGAAATAACAGTGGAAGAAGAAATAGTACACACATGTCCATATTCAGATGAAAAATTACTCAGCATCACACTAATTACAGTTATCATGATCGCTACAAACTGATCAACTTTACTGTTATATAATTTAAATTACTTAAACGGTAGCTATTCACAAACGTGAATCGATTTTCTTCAGATCAATAGTGAACCGATATATTTACAATACATTGGACATTAATCATGTAATGAACCAATGGTTGAAATCAATAAATTTGGCGCAGAATTCGACTACATAACAATTCCAACAAAATAGGAACTGACAGAGACAATAATTTTAAAATGAAATCATCAAAATATTATCAGTGAAAGAGTGACTTACTGTGATGATACCATATCTACTTTTGACTTCGCTAGCTCAATCATTTTATCGATTTCCGGCTGGAATTCACAAATAAAAAGAGAGTTTTTACCACCCCAAAAAACATGGAGAATTACTTTTTTATAGTCATCCAGTAATAATTAACATATAGCCCGTGACATATTGACATATCACATCAGAAAGACAGACAGTCATTCGCAACGTAGAACCTGGCGCGTACGTACATCGGTTCAATGGGCCATGCCGCATAAGCACGGACAGATGGAATTATCAGGTCAAATCCCATAGTAGAGGTAGTAACAGCATAAGTGGTAATAGAAAACATGAAAGATCGGAGATGTAATCCCAAAAAATATAAACTAGTGAAATAAACAAACAAGCAAAGTTTATGAGGAATGCAGAATCTTAGAATGTGGGGGAAGACAAAGTAAGAAAAGAAACAAAATGAAGCTAACAAGATGGATTCAAAAGAAATGGAAATAATGTGGAAGTAATTATAATGGGAGGGAATATTTATTTATTTATTTGAACACATGAATATTGGTACAAGAGAGCGCCAATATATATGCGCCACACAATGGGAGGGAATAAACAGCGATAATATGGTTCGAGAAGGAATGAAACGGTGTGGTGGAACGAAGTACTGGAATATAAAATCTAGACGATGAAGAATTAAGGCATCTGGTAAACTATGTTGCAATCAACATTACAAAATAGTGTTAACATAACTTATGTGTTAAGTCTAGGTACATGTACTCAACTTCGAACTAAGTGCTTTTATGTGTACATGCTGCTAATGATAGTATCTAGCTCTCTAAATCTGAACTAGGTGAAAAGAATCCTTGAACCTGCAACTATGTTCTGAAAATTACCATTATATCAATAAACAGGAAGACTGATACAAAATGAATTCAAAGTTCAACTTGTTTAAATTATTTTGAGAAAATAATACTTCAAACTTAGAGACGAAGTCTGTTTCATACCAGAAATATTGTAAATAGGAAATCTCTCAGATGAAAACGAGTATAACTAATCAATAATGTATTACCATAAAAGCTCAGCTAAATCTACAATTATAGCAATAATTTCCATTGGACAGACGGAATTATCGGATAGACTGTTATTCCCTACATTTGTGAGCACAAGTTCATAATCATATTAACTCCGTGAGTAAAAAGAATGAAATATGAACATCCCTGAATAATGGTCGCGATACATTTGAAACAGAGGATTCTGAAGATCTCTAAATACCCAAAAGTTTAATAGATGAGTGCATTATAAACCTACGGCATAATTTAGGTAACAAAGAGATATATATAAGTCATATTTAGATAGTGTATGAAAAACCTTTGGGTTAGGTATATTTATAATGATGGGTGCTAGGAATACACTATGATCAAGAGATCATGTCCTTGAGGAGAAACGTAAATATGATGAATTAATTAAAAGTAACAAAAGAGTAAAGACGGTTAACGTAATATGGGTAAAACGTTGAAATATTGTAAACTGAAGTGGCTACGACATTTGAGCTTCAGTTGACAAGCCCCAGGTTCGAAGGTTGCTCCACCTATTTTAGTCTGAGCAACGAGGTAGTGTCACTGGTCTCCACACAAAGTGAGGCTCGAAACTAAATATACGGATCTGTACCTGGTAAACGAACGTTCTCACGGCGGGGGTGTTGTTTACAAAAAGTGAATGTCCGGCGCTTTAACTGGGTTGGTGGATATGGAGGATCCACCTAAGGGAGTTGGAAAACACTGATTCCAAACAAATGGTGCACATGGGCTCCAGGATCCTGAGGGAACAAATGGCGTGTGAACCAGTTATTGGTCACCGGCTGTTATGCCACTGCATCTCCTGATGTTGCTCCACTGCCTTGTGGATAAGACCTTTAGGTAGAAGGCTTCGGAAGAAAACCACCTGCTTCGATCTTAACACCCGAGTAGTATCACAGCCCATACACAAATCAAGTGACCTGTGTGGCGCATATGTATTCGGTGACCGTTTGTACCAATGTTTATGTGTTCAAATATATAAGTAAAATGAGCTCAACCAAGAGGGATGACAGATGTTGAGAAATAAAAGCAATCAAATGACAACTCGAAATCACAACGAGATAAAGTTTAACATCACATTGTTCGATATACGTCGATCACCGGGTAATAAACATACTCAGTCAGTCAGCTACAACGTAGGATCAGGCACATAATAAACATATTAACATGCATAGTTTAGTTAGTAATTTCATTACGTGGTATATATGTAATTTCTGGGGGAAAAACTTACTTGGTAGCGCTCATAAAACTTCGGCACACAAAAGACGCCAAAAGTGACTGCGATGGAAACAAAAAAGAACCAAAATTAGAAGAACAATGAGTGACATTAATCTGGTACTATGTTGTAAAAGTATAGCTAGTTAGAATACCAAAACAGTGAAAAAAACATATGACTATGTGTAGATAAAACTATGGACTCAAAGCTATTGTGAGCCACTGGACATTTTGTACAGTATGCGTTTAACATTTGGAATATTATTATTAGAAATTTGCGGACTGTGAAAAATAAAGAGATGTCTATATAAAAAGTGGTTTGTGTTTTCAGCAAATCCCTGCCATTACTGGGACGTACCGCAACACTTAGCTTGTAGTGAAACAATATGGGAATTTCCCTCTGAGATATTAAAGTATGTGAAACCGGTATCAATCTCTCAGTGTTACTCTGATGTTTGGAGCTTAAAACAAAAAAAGCGAACAGCTTTTCGGGATGCATAAAACTGGATTATCATTAAAAAGGAACTTACATAGTATACATAAAGTTAGGAAGTTGAACTGTGCACCAATGTATGTCAGTAGATATAACAGTACAGCGAACTGAAAATATACAAAAAATATGCACTGTCGGTTTGTAGTAGTATATGTAGTGCATGACATGAAAATGAAATGTCGAGATAATTATGAAAGCTAGTCCCGACAAGTTCTGATTCGAATATTTCTGGACTGGTCAGAAGTTTATCCACACATCCACTAATATCTTATTTACAAGTCAAGGGGTTGTCCAGATCAAAGTAGGCATAGTATGGGGATGTAAACTGAAAAAATGTTTTAAAATTATACTTATTCCATTAAGTCACAGCTAAGTTAGTGCTAGTATTTGGATTTAATAGATAACTGGTTATTAAGTTAAATCATGTATAGTGCACCGAACTTTGAAATATATAATTTAAGTATCAGTATATGAGTTCTGTAGGCTCAACAAATCATTTTCTGGTGGAAAGTTTGATAATCTACGAAGACAAGAAGGTCAAATGCATGGATTTATGCGGAGAATTCAATGTAGCTTTAGTTGAATACGTTCGCAGCACATTGAATATTTGGAGGCCAAAATAATCGTTAAGTAATCTAATGAAAAGATCAATGAAATAAACTGATTGAAAATCATAGATATTATTTTAGTCAAACTACGACCACTTTTCAGTGTTATGATACCATTTTGGTCCAAAAGTAATGAAATCTAATTCGAAAACAGTGGTTATTTGTTATACAAACTGGTTTATGCACTTGTGAAACAAATTTCGTTTGGTCGGGTAAGGAAGATATTTCATTAAATAACGCTGAAAGGAATTCAACAGCGAAAAATTGACAATATTCATCAATTATATACTCATTTTAAGGTTAATCAATATGAAATAAACATACTTTCACAGATGCGGCGGGGTCCGTGAGTAAGAATATTTCTCTAGTGCGTGTTAACCCTTTGTTTAAAACTTCAGTGAGACGTCGAGAAACTTTCTCTGCTCTATCTTGTGGCACAGTGATTTCTCGTTCTAGATATTCCCTACATTTAAGTGAAACAAAACATCTACTTAAGTTTGTTAAGATTAGAATTATGATATGCCAAGTGAAAGGATGTAAGTATGTAAAATTTACAAATACCTATTAAGGAAAATATAAATATATATTGTATTGTGATTTCTATCATGTTAAATAAGTGATTCATACGAGTCGTCAATAATCCTTAGATTTGTAAGAGAAGCATTAATATTTTTTGACATGAAAATCAACCGAAACTATCGAGAACTTGAAGGTTTGGAATATGTCCTGAAGATAAATGAGTAAAATGTACGTATGATTCACTGAAATATCTTTAACAGTTAATCATGAATATCTCTAAGATCCAAACCAGGAAGCCTGTATTCCGCAACAAGGCTCAGTCTATTGATCAATGTACTTATAGATGGACACGACATATGTGTATGGTCACTGCTCACCTATAGTACCCAGAACTTAACATTAATCTGGGTATTAAATGAATATATGTAATACGTCTTTCTAGTATTTCAGTCAGTAAATGATTGTTTCGTGAGTCGACTTACAACTTCCGTTTATTTAAAATGTAAAATTTAAGATTTCGGTAACCATGAGCGATGCTACAAACGAATCTACGATTAGACATCGACAGCCGATGCATGTTATTAACCTAAAATCGTGCTTAATAGCTGTACAGTAACAAAGTGAATGAAGTTTGTCCAGATTATACTTTAAGGATTGCTATGGAAATTTAAAATAAGTAGAAAACTAACGGATATTTTAATTTTTTATCTAAAGCATTCATCTTCAACCAAACAAACCCGATTAGTTTAGCACTATGAAGTTTCGATTTGGGTATGAAAATATATTTTAAATATTAACAGCAAGAGTAAAACTTCATTTACATATTTTACAAACAACCTCGTTGTTGAATGGATTGTTATACGCAAATACAAACTTACTATAAGTACCTTTAAAACACTAGAACTGACCTGACAAAATTATTTTCTGTTTTAGCCACAAAGTGATAATACATACGCAATAAGTTGACGGAAACAAGAAGGGCTAATCCGATATAAGCAATGAAGGAGATTGCAGAAAGACACATAAAACTAAATTCGACAATCAGCAAGAGAGTCAGTATGACGCCTGTTACAATTGGTTGCCGCCAGTACACGATAGAGCGTACTGTTGAAAAGATAGAGTAAAAAAAGAAAATATGAATAGTATTAATTGATTTTAGTCATATTAGTGAATGGCAAATATCAGGTTTAGCTAAGAGCAATACTTTTACATCACCAACATTTAGAGCTTGAATAAATTGACAATTTACTAGATTGAAAACTGTGTACCACGTTTAGTGCTAAAATAAACAAAATATCTTTTTATTGAGCAAAGTTTATTATTATTAGTATTTGAACACAAATATTGGTACAAGAGAGCGCCAATATATATGCGCCACACAAAACGATGAGAATTCGAAGAAAAAAGTTAAGGAGCGTAAAAAAGATGGTGACATCGGTTGTATTATCATCTCTGTGCCCGAACACACGATGCCGAACCTCTGAATTACTGACATGGTGTTGCCACTGGATGTCAGAAATCCTTCGGAGACAACGATGATCGAACACAGAGAGTCGTCTAACGTCCTCGACTCGACCTTTTACAGCCAGACTAACATCACGAAGGCGCCAAAGATGGCCCAGATTGGCATAAGCCGCTCTGGCTTTCACTATTCGTGCATTGATCTCATCACTCACACCCCCACCAGCACTTATGCAGCTACCCAGATACACGAACTTCTCGACTATTTCTATCTGCTCACCATCCAGGGTGAGTACAGGATTAGAATCCCGCCAGTCTTGTAGAAGTACTTTGTGCTTCGAAGGTCCAAAGCACATACCATACCTACGGACACTGATTGCCAACTGATTAAGTGCGGATAGCATGGCTTGGGCATTATCGCACAGTAAGACAATATCATCCGCATACTCAAGGTTGAGAAGTCTTTCTCCAGGCAACAGATCCACACCACCATTACTTACATCCATCAGAGCTGTTTCCAGAATGTCATCGATGGCAAAGTTGAAGAGGAATGGTGGGATTGGGCAACCCTGCCTAACCCCACTGCTCGAATAGAACAATGGAGAGAGGTGGTTGTATGCCCTCACTCTGCCTGAGGTGTTTGTATATAGGGCTTTTAGGATGTTAATAAACTTCTCAGGCACACCCTTCTTCAATAGACAATCCCAGAGAACAGTCCTATCCAACGAATCGAAGGCAGCCCTGATGTCAAGAAACATTACGATTGTTGGCCTTTGAAAAGTATGACGGTGTTCTAACATTTGGCGGAGGGTGAAGATATGATCAATACATCCTCCACCAGAACGAAACCCAGCCTGCTCCTCGCGAGCAAAGGTTTGACTATGATTTTGAACACGACGAGAAATCTATGACTACAGCACAGGATGTGTTTTATACATTTCACAATTTACATCTCTCATTATCGGCCTAAATATATTGATGGAAGTATACAAAGGTGGAATATACCATCTGAACTTGCAAATGTTAGCCACAGTTTTCATAACACATTTGTACAAGTTGAAGTTAACACGATGAATAGCAAAGGGATTGAAATAATAATTCGTCTGACAATACTCAAGATCACTGCTCTAAGGCTTCCTCGAAGTTGTAAATTCAAGGTCAGTGTTTTACATATTTGGTGGCTGAACTTCAGTTACGTAATTGACCGACGATCGATGAAATCTAAAAACAAATTTTTTGGACATTCTTTGGAATTCATAGACTACGGAAACACATCAATTGTTCATATAAACAGCTGTAGGTTATTTATTGATCGTCGCCTCAATGTAAGTGGAGCACAAAAACCTTTTTGGCCTGGACTTAACTAATTAAGGGAATAATGAAAATTTGTTCAAAAGGGGTGCATCTACCGGAAATTTACAGCGAGATGAGCGATGGTCTACTTACTTACTAGAAATATGTTTTGCGATTATGAAACTCGAGCTACCTACACAAGTGATTCCTACTTATGTCATGAAATAAAGATCACTTGAAAGAAAACACTTAACCGAAAGTAATCGAACGTATAGGCACTGCCAAATTTGTTTTGGCCTTATGAAAACATCTGCCAACAATTAGTCTTACCCTTCTCCGAAATGGGACAACCGTTTGAACAATCCATTTTACCTGAAAATATAAATGGAAGAGTAAGACGGGTGTTAAAGTGAGACAGTTTTAAGAGAGTAATTGCAGTAGTAAATGGAGAAACGCGCCAATACAAAAAACCAACTCATATCTCTGAGAAGAACAAATGAACAGCCAAACCATGATGATATTAGAATACTGACGACTAAACGTTGCTTGAAATGGGTCATATCCCATCACAAAACCGAAGCGACATCATTTACCTGTCTATTATGCCTGTGTTTTTTTCACAATGACCCCCTTAATAGTGTTAAAATTCACTCAGAGTTTGACGATACCTTACTCGACATTTTCTAAGATTTTTATGCCACAATTTTTAAGGTGTCTGGAAAACATGCTTTACCCTATCTGAAGACACTTAACGTTGCTAGTTTTCAAGGTAGGTAAGAAGTAGTTACTCAGAAAACTTGGGATGCACTTCTTGCAACTTCCTACTCCGAATTTCGAAATATGACCTAGGGAAATTTTTGCACGACTATCGTTATGGTCACTAAAAGTGCAGTAGTCGAGCAGCATAACTTCTTACTGAACTCGTGTCTTTGAGTTAGTGTTTGACTTTTGGTAAGATTAAAAGATCCACATTGTTTTAAACAACACCGCTTTCTGCATAGGCAAGATATATAGATGTCTAGTGGAAAGTGAATACATTGCAACAATATATTAATTGTTTCTTTGCTTACAATGGAATGCATATTTATGTAGCAACTACTCAGTTTTGTGTGCTTAAGGCCCTACTCATGCATAGTGGTGCGAAATTTATCTTACCTCCGCCAAGTTGAGCGAACCAATACTGTCATAGGGTAAATACCCTTAGCATAAATCCGCCAAATTTCATGACTATCAGTATCATAATTATCCCCCAAATAATGTGACTGCATTAGGTTAAACAATCTATGCGCAGTTAATTGACTACATTTTAAAATCTAGCCTACACCTAACCAACTATGGCGCCTTGATAAGCAAAATGCAACCACAACTATGAGCATATTCGAGTCTAGATAAAAACCCGATAATTAAATCGAAAAACGGCTTGAAATACACTGCGTGAGCTTTAAATATTTTCATAAAGACAACACTATGTCCGTGGAGTCCAGTGGGCGGTTATCGAAACAAGTTTGCTGTCGAATCCATTAAACTATTAAGTACTGACACAGCTACACAAGTCCAATAAGACTATTCAAAATGTGCATTGACAATCATGAAGAGTAGTATTGATGAATGAAACCAAAACCTTATGACCTTAAAGTCAGAGGGGATAGTTTCAGAATGAAGTAGGTTAGAATTAAAGATAACCAAAAAATAATACAGTAATAATCATACGCACTACAGTTTGAGCAATTCGAATGGCAGTTTTAGTAATCGGGACAATCAGGAAAGCAAATTGAATCGGTCTGAGAAATATCGTGATCCTGAATAACCGCTAGCTATTTGAGACAAACAAGTATGCGGTAATAGCAAAGAGGAGTGATAAACAAAAGGATTTAAAAAGATAAAAACTGTCTAGGCATGAACTAAAGGTTTTGTTTCTTTTGATTGAACAAAACCCTTGGCAATGAATCAAGTCAAGTGGTAGCCCAACGGATTATATTTAAGTGTACGGTAGCCGACTGACCAAAATGCAGATTTATTGTCATTACACACAAACTGAACACGGAGAAATTAAGTCACTCAAAGGAACGAAACTGGTGAGTTAATAGGATACGTGAATATTCCATTACTTGCCATACAGAAATATTTAAAAAGTAAGCTGAACAATTTGAAGCGTAAAGGTAAAATAACGTATAGATGTGTATTTAGAACAACAGGTAGATTTGAGACAGCCACAAAGGTAACGTGATTTAAATGACAAGATATCAAGATTAAGGAGATATAGATCAAACTTAATAAGAAAGAACGTAAAGTAAACAAAAAGGTAGGTAAGTGAAACCTCACCTGGGGGGAAACCGTCAGCCAACATCGCTTAAACTCGTATTTTCCAATAGCCCGCTGAACTATTCGATGGCGAATAATGAAATTAGCTTAAGGTTGAAGAGATAAACAAAATCTAACAACCAAAAGATTTTCTGTACAATTTATAGTTCTTAAATATCGCAAAAAGTGTTTTTTGCTGCTTTGATTACAGAACATCTGCCTCAAGGCACTATTTAGTTCTCTGCGTCAAATGAACTTTTAGAATTCTTAATAACGAGTTCGCAAATCATGAGGTTCGTTTCATCGATAGTCCTGGATATTAAATCATAAATAAATAATCGAAGATTGACGTATATGCTATCAACGACATAGTTTTGTGTTTGTCTTATGGTGACGAAAAATTTGCAATAAATTATATCTATTTCACGTAAGGGAATGGTCGATATCTGTCAAGAAACATGATGATTCAATATCGCGCTTCGACATATAATGGAAAGAATAAACTTATGTAATGATGGCATTACGGTTTACAGTTTAAGCCCATTTTTAATGCCATCTTCAGTCCGCTGATATGTGAGAACCATCCTATATATGTACTTTAGACGTTGTTCCAGGTAATTTAACTTGAAAAGGTTGATTTGCATTTTGAGTGTATTGTAGTAGTAACCTTACGATGTCTTAGGTGTGCTATGTATTAAAGAAGACGCTTTCCTTGTTACTGTCCAGGTATTTCATCACTGTAATCAACCGTCGACTGTTTGATGTACTCATTGCATATATCGTGTTAAAATACCAGAATGATCTGACCACAATACACTAAATTAGTGAACATATGAAAACTAGTAACGTGGAACATGTTGTCACTGAATGACTTCAGAAACATTAAATTGTTATATAAGGCGGACTCATAAAACGCACGTAATGTGCGATTTTGACATACTGAGAGTTTAGTCTTCGGATATACAAAAAGTGGAACTATGGACGAAGTATCAGGCAGCTGAAGACAAGGATGACTGAAATGAAATACAATTAGAACGTTCACAAGTCCAAGTTCTCAGAATGAATGACAATAGTTATTACTTAGAGAAGTTACCGACTAATTTTCCATGTAAATTTAGCGTGAACGTGCGTCTCTTGTTTCTCCAGATAAATAGTTCACTCCTTCTAAATGTAATCGAATCTTGAACTCACAACGATGACAAATTTCGATTCATACTTCTATCCCAAGAACACAACTACTGTGTGATGAAACTTTACAGCACACGAAATAACGAGCGATCTTCGATCCATTACGATCAATTCTTTCAAATTCATCTGCCGATAGTGATAATCTAATGAGGTATCAGAACGTGTTTTGTGGATATTATAGTAATTTTAATGGTCGAGATAATCAGACAATTGAATCCAGACTACCATGAAAAACCTGGAAGCATTGGGCGGTCATTTCGTCCTGTTGTGGACTCCTCAGGAGTGCGCATCCAAGATCCTGTCTCGCAAGTTTCGAAACCAGAACATGTCGGTTTCGCGCGCGAACTCTTAAGCTCCGCATCACTGGGCCTGTATACAACGGTGTTAATATCTATCTGAGGAGTCCTAGAATAGGACGAACTGGCTGTCCGATGTTTCCAGGTTTTTCATTGTGGTCTAGCTTCAGATGACTAATGATATCAACCATCAAATTTTCTAATGATATGTGCTTATAAATGTAAAAATCATAATACCTAACTATTTATTCTGCTTATACTACTAAACTTAAGAAACTTATTTTTTTTCTTCATTTCAAGACATCGATCACTGAATTCAATTACCTTTTGCTGACGACGTGAAACTTTGGGGAGAGATACGCAACCAAGACGATATACAGGCACTTCAGGAGGATCTGACCCGACTTCAAAGTTAAGCAGACGATAACGGACTTACTTTTAACACTTCAAAGTGTAAAGAAGTTCATCTGCGACATGTCGCAAACTACAGTTACAACTTAGGAAACTCCTCTCTAGTAGTATCCCGAGTCGAAAAAGATTTAGGAGTCCTGGTGCCTCATGATTTAAAGTCCTACGCTAACTGTGACAAAAATACCTTCCGAGCAAACCTTGGATTGGTAACGTTGAAGCGCATTTTTGGACAGTTTGACGGAAGAACTTTCCGTACAATCTTCAAAAGTTTCATCCGTCCCCATTTAGAGTACGGAAACATAGTACTCCCCCCTCACTCCAAAAGGATAAGGTCACTTTGGAGCGTATCCAACGGCGAGCCACGAAATCAGTTCGAGGACTCAATTCTAAACCTTACGAAGAGCGCCTCCATTCACTAGACCTTTACCCATTAGAGTATAGGCGTCTTAGAGGTGATTTATTATTGGCTTATAGTATTCTTAACACTTCTGGACATCCTCTTAAATACCTACTTAATCTTTGCTCGAATAATAACCTAAGGGGTAACACCCAGAAACTGGAGACACAACATAGCAAAACGGAATGTAGGCACAACTTCTACTCCTTAAAAGTTGTCAAAAACTGGAATTCGCTGCCGGCGGAGCTAGTTCAAGCGACTTCTCAGGAGTCCTTCAAGAGGCAACTTGACATATTCTTAAGGACCAAGGACAGCATCACACTATGATTTACCAATTTCTTTTCCTCTTTTATTGTTAACATACCTAGGTTCCTTCCTGGAGGATTTGGTGATCCCCTGCTACTAGACACGGAAGCCTGTTAAGCGAAAGCTTCTTCTATTCCGTCCACAACCATTTGAACCATTCTTAGATTAGATCGTTATATGGGCATTGCATATTGGACAAAGTATTGCAAATCGTATTGTGGTTTATTTAATGTTGTTATATAATTATCGCGTCAATTTAGGTAATGATTCTCGTTTGTATATTCTCATGTGGTTTCATATTAAAACGTCAAGGGAGTTGATTTGCTGGATTTTAAATTTGCTAACATATAGCTCTCGAGATGCTTTGATATGCTTTATATAAATGATATAATTTAACAAAGCATCAAATTGGGAGCTCGTTTGCTTCATTGAGCTAGCGTTGAAGTTTAAGTCGTATTAGTCCCAAATGGAATTAGAGAGAGAATAACTGTGATACGTATACCGAAGTTCTCCCAACACATTATTTCTATCCTTATGGTTTTTCCTCACATTTCCTCTCATTTTTCCACAGCATCCACTTTGTTTCTTCAGTAATCCATAAAAAAGTATTTCCGTTCAATTATGCAATGTTACGGGGAGCGATGTCCAGAAGGCATCACAAAACTAAACTACCAGTGTATGTCGCCTTTGAAAAACCTTTCTTCCGAAAAATTACTTGTTTATTCAACGAAAATAATCATATAGCTTCCATCTAAAACAGTTCGGTTTTTCTTAAAGTTTGTGTTCCTGACTTCTCCATCGTCAAATTAATCGAATTATCATTGGATGACGACCCAATCAACAATCATATGTTTATTGTTAAGTGTACTTAGGTTTCATCTACAAATTATAATACTATTTGACTATTCAAACTAAGTATGACAAGGAAGAGCCCCTCCACGTGAACTAGCGGCTAAGAATAAGTTACCTTAACCACAGAGTCACTCCCATAAAAAGTGACCACGCAGTCAAAATGCTGTTATAAATACTTCTACACTCAATTTTAGCTTTTAACCACCCATTTCGGCTGGTGTATTTCACAATAGTGAATACACTGACTAAACATCTAGTGTTAGAAAAATCGCTCACACATGAATTCCTGTAGCTGGTTGTAAGATAAACTAACAATACGAAAGACAAGCTGTATTGTCTAGTTGCTCAAAAAAGCTTAAATAAACATTTTGCGAGCCTATCATACAAACCTTAAGTCACATCTTAAGTGATTGTTTGGAATTCACCCGTAAATAATAGAAACTTTCCTCTTATATTGAGCATTTAAAAAGATTTAGCCGGGTTGTCGGTGAACTTCTAGTAGCGTTTCGTCAAAGCAGAAATACATGTGGTCAGATTTAATCAAACTGTACTTGACAGTTGTAGTTTTTTTTCAGTGGCTACCCAAAAGCTATCGTATTTATTTCCCATCAAGCCTAAAATTTGGATAAAATAAAAATAGAAACTAATTGCCTAACTTAATATTATTGAAAATATACAGGCTGTTACATCCAGTAGTTGGAATATCAGTTGTCAAACATTTCTCACTTGCATCTATTCATTTCCATGTCTTCATGTAAAAAACTGGACTTTCATACGTACTTAAAAAATTATACCCCAAACTCTTAAGTTCATGATCATCATTTTGAAACCGTTCATGATATATTTGAGCTTCCTTTTTGTTTTTCAGGTTTCATGTCCTAGATTATTTTCAAAAATAATGGCTGTCAAGACTGAGCCTTTTCTTCTGGAACGAACTGTATATGTCGGCATAGCTTTAATTATCCCAAGTTATTCGATTTATAAGCTTTTTATCTCTTCGAAAAGTCCAGGTGAAATATTTTTTCAAATTATAATGACAAATTCAGTAAATCTAAATTTATTACGACTGAAAAATGTTAGTTTAACTCAAAATTTGGTGCTAATGCAAGATGCAGCTGAATTTCAGTGGACGTTGCTTCCGTTGTGGATGAGTTTTGTACCTTATCTTTTACTCTATTCGATCGTATCATCATTCGTTTTTGCGTTGGTGAACAAAAAAGTACTACATGCTTGTTTCTATTCAATCGGTGTAGATATTCAAATGTTGTCGAATAATATTATCAATTTGGCTAATAAATTATTTGGTGGGTTATAAAATCCTAATGGACGTCTTTTTGAACATATTATGCTTTTCATGCATAAGTTATTTGGTCTCTGGAAACTGGCTCTTGATATGGGCGTTTGCAGTTTTAGTGGTTCAAGCATCTGAATCCTTTGTAAGTTCAACGAACTATAATATTAGTTAATTCCTTAATTCTTTTACGAGACTCACTATTGTATGTGTTTCCAACTTTTAAGCCATGTAGGGAGCATTTAAAGTGTATATGCTTTCACTTAGTTCGTTTTGATTTTACTGAAGTGACAGTTTGCTGCAAACGGTGAAAAGACTAAATCTGTCTATATAAAATACTGGCGAACACCAAAGTAATGGAGGTGTTTTTGATACTTTTTGTGTTAGGACTCAAACTAAATAGCACTAACGACTGCTTGATCTGTTACAAAACGCTTCATCAAAAAACGGATTTATTTTAGATTTAATGTAAAGTGTATTAAAAAGACTGAAATAACTCTTAAAATAGATTGAATTATATCAAAATGAAATCACTGTAGCAGTTTTTAAAAGTTCGATGATTTCTCGTATATGTCCATTACACAAGTACAAAATGTGTTACAAGGTTTCGACAATGTAGCTTACAACTTATTATGGAAGTTTATAGTCATTAAAATACAAAGATTTCGTTCTAAAGCACGAATTACCATGAGTGTTTTCAAATTGTCCACTTTTACTAGAAACCAAACCACTTGTTCTTACATTTTGCTATGCAAATTCCTAAAGCATCAAAAAGTACAAAGCACTTAGTTCTTATTTTCGTATGTGATATTGATAAACAACAACCACAGCTTCCAAACAATTTCAATTTTAACTCTAATCAGATTGATATTTCAATGGTATATGATAATCTCTTATTAAAATATATAAACATACGTAAATATTTTTGATGTGTTTGTTAACAATTATTATTTCCATATAACTATATATACGAATGTACAGCTTAAGTAAATGATTTCGTCGAAAAAAAATTTCTTCGCTAAATTCTTTTTTTCCTAACAATTATCAACTGCTTATCACCTCTTGTGTTTTATACATTGCTTAAACCAGGAATCATCGTTTGACTTTGGATTGATATCATACGACTGGTATATGATCTTGTATGCGGCGCATTTTTATATAGTTCTACGTAGTTTAAGTGTGGCGTTATCGTTCCATAAATGTTCGAACAATTTTAAGTCATCTTTTGTCAAAAAGACAGAAAAAGAGGAATCAATCATTAACTGTGCCCCTAGATCCTCACTAGAAAGTTTATTGGATGTATTAGACTATTCTTTATACCCTCATTCATTGCTGTTAGGTCCACTCGTCTTGTATTCAAATTGGGTTAATTTCTGGGTAAGCATTCTCATAAAAATATTATTTTATTTTTATATAATTTCTCAATTTCTGTACAACGATCATACATGTATATTATTGGGGAAGATCCAACATATATGTTAGCACTTTAGTTATATTCGTTGGTCAAAGTAGTCAAATTTATTAGTATTATAAAGTGTATACAAGTACTAGGCTAGTGAATAATTGGCGCCAGCGATCGCCCAGTTCAATGTATTTAGATCTGACCATTGATCAGTTAAGTAAATAATTCAGTAGATTTAGATTTGGTTATGAATCTACAGATTTATTTTCGATAAATTATAAATCAAAATCTCCGTTATTTTTCATTCATAACAAGTGATACGTACTAGCTGTTCCATAGTTAAAGCAAGAAGACATTGATTTTCTTCAAGTCTCGGCATATATATATATATATATATATATATATATATATACTTATTGATTACAGTAAATAAAAAAGGAAGACATCTTATAAAAGGTGCTTTTATCGAAATATATCCCTAAAACGAGAAGCAGCAGATTTTGAATATCCCAGTAAAAAATACATTTGAAATCCATATTTATTTACAGTGTGTCTCATTATTGGTTATTTAAATTAATCCATCAAAAGTTACGAGTATACAATAAGTATACGTTGCAGCACCTTCTGTTATACATATATTTAACCGAAATATTGGTTATACTTGCGTTACTGCATATTTTCATGTAATCTTAGACTGTTTAACTGTACATTTACCATAATTGTTGTTGAAGAGTGGTTCTGTGGACTGAACTACTTCGGAAAGTCTTGATGCATTTATGTTCAATTTTACGTAGTCGTTAAATATGTGATAGTAACTTTATTCATGAATATTGTTGTATATGATAGTCAATCTTTCATTTATATGACACTGAAATATTTTTCGTCTGAATTATGATGGCACTAGAGAAGTAGTTTAAAAAAGGATACCCGTTAATATTTTTATTTTAATAAATGAATGTACTACTACTTGTACTTAAAATCAATTCGTGAAATTGATTATGCTTTACATACTAATTTGGCGCTAAACACTGATATTTGCTTTTATAAACAAATTCAAAATCTTCGCGAAAAACGTATTCTTCCAGTTAATTTAGCTATCTTAGAAAAATAGCAACAAAGGAAGAAATATAATCTTTTGAAATGATTTCCCACCAGCACACTTGTCAAAACTTTAAATTACAATGTGAACTGTACTAGCGACTTTGGACACATTAGAATCTCACTTGTAGAAAGGGGTTTCTTTGGAAGTTATATTTCTAAATGTAATTCTTCATTTAACTACATTACTGGAAACTTTGTTGTAGGATTTAGTGACCCTTTGTATCTGACCCCATTCGGATCGTATGAATGATTGTTATTGAAATATGCACGTCACCAATCCTCGTCTGTAATTATCGACTTAAATCGCGTTAGTGAATAACGGAATTAAATAAGTCAAATACGAGAATGGATTTCGAACACGTATATTTCGTACAGTCGTTGATTGGAAGCGAAGTAAAACAAAATGACGCACAGTGGTGACAGCAAGTGAGCCAACTTAATTTAACAAGGCGTGAATCGAAATTTATGGTCAGACAAAAATAAGTTAGAGACATGTGATGAGTAAGATATGAAATGCACACATATACGCTTACATAAAAAGTCAAGGTTGATAAGCGAATAATTGACAAGACCAAAATGTGATTTAAGAAGAATGAATAAGTTGGCCTGTCCGTAAGCTAGAATAAGCTATGTAGGCTTGATATAGCAACCGACACTACAAGGAATTCCATCCAAATACGGGCAAAATGAAATGATTTTTTTCGTCTGTTAAGTGACTGATTATTGTCATATTGTCAATTATCTTTATGAAAACCTGGAAGAAACAACTTGAACAATCCCTTGATTATCTATTCCAACAAGAATCACCATACATCGACAATGAAATATTATGCCAAGTAGATCACTGAAATTTTTAACAAAACACTTCTGTCATGTAACCTCAGCTTTCTTTTTAATTTAGTTGTTGATCCTTTACTACTCGTCATTAAGCTAATATGCTAAAGCGATTCTCATGATAGCATATTATTTTCATCACACTGGGATTATTTTAAACCTCATTTAATCGAATGCACAATTTTAATTGTTTAATATAATAAGATAACAGGAGTGAACTGTATTATTTTTTTAAATTGCAGGAAAATCTTGATAGTTTACATTCCAATCATCTGTCACCCAGTTTTAGAACATTACTCGACACACTGATATCACTTGTTTCCAAAGCTATCCGGTTGATATTCTGGAGCTCATTTTGGTCATTATGCCTTTGTATAGTTTATCCGAATTCATTCGGTTATTTGATTTCTTATGCACAAATTAGTGAATTATCTATACAAAATAAATCAAATCAGTACTATCTTATTATTGATCGTGGTACAGTGGGTGCGAGTATTTATTTACGTAGTTTACATTTATTCATTATATATTTACAATTTTATGGATGGCCATACGTACTTTCAAATTTCGAATGCCTACTCATAAATTTGTTACAGAAATTATTGAATATTCTTCAATCATGTGGGCGAAACACCAAAGCTACTACTGTCACTGATCAAACAAGAAAATCTCATAGTGACCCAAGCCTAATTCAGGTTTCGTTTATGCCTGAACCACCAGCATGTCTCTTACATTTCCTTCTGATTTCTGAATGTTGGCGGTTAGTTTACAATGTACTTCTGTTCTAATAATGTGATGTTTCTGAAAGTCGTTGCATCTTTTTTTATATAGTAAAATCATTCAGCGTTTGCCATAATCCCTTCAAAACCTGAATCTGAAACAGACATATCAATCATGTATTAGTTTTTTTAATTATGCGCTTCACGCACTTTAGGGATAATCCATATAACTGGTGGTTGATATTCAAAAGGACTGTTTATACTTATCGTCTCAGAAAATATTTTTCTATCGGAGTTATCTAGTAAAAATGAAATCAGACCAACTATACACATCAAATCCGTGAACAGTTCACCTCATTTGTTCAGTATTTTGCTTCATTGCCTTTTGAATGGGGATATGTTCAGACATCTCATCGTATTGATTACTTGCGCAGTGCTTTTTGTCTAATTATATATTGATCATAAGTGGATAGGTTTGAAGTAACGGAGCAGTCAGTTAGAATCCTAGCACAAAATATCATCTTCATACAAATATATGATTGTTTTCTACAAGATATACACCAGGAAGCTTATTCATTTGTATTGGTTGTTTGAATCTTCCCATTGGTGTTATAAACTTGTCATGTATGCATTCTGTGTAGATTGCTTTGATGTTTTCATTAAGTCACAGGCATTTTGGGATTGTGGATAGCAGTAGAACCTAGGACCCACATTTCGTCCTATCTGGGGCTCGTCAGCTGGATGTTTCTGTACCCATGATGATGTTCGCATCGGGATGCAAGCCCAAAACCTTTCGAACAGTGGATAGTGTTGAAGAGGTTTGACTCGAAATTCACTAAGCTCGAATCCTGATCTGAACATTACAAGTCCAGGCACATCCAGCTGACGAGCTCCAGACAGGAGGAAACCTGCGTTCTAGACCCCACTGCCTACTACTATCCGAAACTTTTTGTAGATAGGATGATCATTGGTAAAATTATACAACTTAGTAACCATACCTTACGAAGTTGAATAAGTGAGGAAACTCCAAACTGAAAGACATCTTGCATCATTTATGCCATTCCGCTTAATTTTAAACATTTTCTTTCTAGATAGTAGTGGTTCTATCAACATCTTAAATGTAACGATTTAATTCTTGATTTAGTGACTTTCAAAAAATTTATGGTCAGCCTAATTATTATATCTGACAACTTTCGATAGTGTAATGAGAAGATGGAGTTGATGTGAAAAATATGGTGTATTCTCGTCATACATTTTTAACAATCTGGTCACACAAATGCTTTTCAAGACTTTATACGCAAACTAATAAATGTCATAGAGGGGGATTGTCAAGAAGTTCCATATTGGGATGAAACAGGTGTCCAGTGCGTGCTGATTTTTAATGGTGATCTGGCTCATATCAGTTCGTGATTGAAGTCATGAGAATTCTACGACTACCACAAAACCCTTTCCTATACTAATTAGATAAAATCTCAACAAAATAAAGCGATAATTGGAAGTAAGAGTGGTGATGTAAAGTAAAAAGAATAAGAACTTTTTACACTGCCCTAGGACGTAAAAATGAAATAAAAATTACCAATCCAAGTTCAAGGTTAGGACAACTTGTGTTTGTTCACAAATTACGTTAAAGTTTATCATCAAATACTAACTTCATTTACTCGTCATCTTTGTACAAAATGTAAATTAATAACCAAGAATTTATCATGTGTAAAGTTTATATTAGCCTTACCAGACATCCTTTTATCTATCAGGGTCCTATGTGACACAAAAAATATCGCTTTTCAGTACAGAATACCAATTCTTTCAACTTTTTTAGATTATGATAGTTATATCCACATTAAGTCCAACTAACACCCACCGTAAACTTGAATACAGAAGCCTGGTTTATTCTAGTGTTTGTAAATACATACTGAATGACATCTACTACAGAACATTGTAAAGCTGTTTTATTTTATTTTACGACTCAGTAGTTTGAACCAACTAACGCACGTAACATCAAGTTCAAAAACTTTAGGTCCTAATGAAGTGCATCACTTCTTTTATGTCACCAAATCCATCATTTTGTCTTTTCAACTTGAGCCTATTTGTTGTATAATACGATTTTCGTCCAATTTTATTAATTTGTAATTTTTCACTTCCACAGTTCATAGTTTACGAATAGAACTTCACGAAATCCATGGTAAAGTTATTCACTGAACAAGACAGTTGCTTCGTAGGGACTTCATATTCGTAACGTTTATTCAATCTTTTAAATCGCTTATAATCTTGTTTTTCATGTTCAAATGTTTCAGGTCATTCGATCGCGGATTGTACAATTTCATTAAATCGTAAGTTTGTGCTTTTGTCGCTCGATGTTTTTTCCTGATAACCTTCTTATCCATGTAATCAAGTTGACCTTCTATTTTGTCAATATTATCTCCACGTTTTTTTAACTTCAAGCAACATAAATAATTCTCATTGAGTTTCAGCATATTTTTAAACCTTGATGCATTAACAGCTTAAGTCATTTTTCATAGGTAAATAATTTACAGTTAATAATTTTGATAATTTAGTAAAAATTTTGACATCAGTAAATCATCTATGATAGTCGTGACTTCCTATTCTTATATGTATCATTTTTATCTATTAGGATATATCATTCATGTAGTATTATTTATTATTATTTATTTGAACACATATATATTGGCACAGGAGTGCGCCAAATATATATGCGCCACACAAAACAATGAGAATTTAAGAAGAAAAAGAAAAAAAAGTGGGGGAACGTACAAAAAAAAATAACGAAGAGATTGGTGTAAGGTAGTGTAATAATAATAGTAATAATAGGGAAACAGAAGGGTACAATCAGAAGAAATCTTCCAGTTAAGGAAGATACAACCACGTTTTATGAAGAAAGTAAAAGAAGGTTACAGCATGATCGCCACTGGCTTCTATTCTGAGCCATATCTGATAACGTCTCTAACCATTGTGTTGTACCATCTCTCGGACCCCAACCAGGGAGTCGTGAAGGACCAACAGAAGCCAGTCCTTTGCAGCTTTCTTTCATACCATGTCATATACTGATCACCTCTCCGCTTTTTCCAACCAGTCCCAGAGTCGGCAAATAATGCACGACGTGGAAATCTCTGGGATGACATTCGTAGAACATGTCCAAGTCACCGAAGTCGGTGTTTCAAGATGGTGACATCGATTGCATTATCATCTCTGTGCCCGAACACGCGATGCCGAACCTCTGCATTACTGATATGGTGTTGCCACTGGATGTCAGAAATCCTTCGGAGACAACGATGATCGAACACAGAGTCGTCTAACGTCCTCAAGTCGGAGAGATCAGGTTTCAAAAGCACAGAGCAAAACTGCTCTCACCGACGCGTTGTAAATCCGACCTTTTACAGCCAAACTAACATCACGAAGGCGCCAAAGATGGCCCAGATTGGCATAAGCCGCTCTGGCTTTCACTATTCGTGCATTGATCTCATCACTCACACCCCCACCAGCACTTATGCAGCTACCCAGATACACGAACTTCTCGACTATTTCTATCTGCTCACCATCCAGGGTGAGTACAGGATTAGAATCCCGCCAGTCTTGTAGAAGTACTTTGTGCTTCGAAGGTCCAAAGCACATACCATACCTACGGACACTGATTGCCAACTGATTAAGTGCGGATAGCATGGCTTGGGCATTATCGCACAGTAAGACAATATCATCCGCATACTCAAGGTTGAGAAGTCTTTCTCCAGGCAACAGATCCACACCACCATTACTTACATCCATCAGAGCTGTTTCCAGAATGTCATCGATGGCAAAGTTGAAGAGGAATGGTGGGATTGGGCAACCCTGCCTAACCCCACTGCTCGAATAGAACAATGGAGAGAGGTGGTTGTATGCCCTCACTCTGCCTGAGGTGTTTGTATATAGGGCTTTTAGGATGTTAATAAACTTCTCAGGCACACCCTTCTTCAATAGACAATCCCAGAGAACAGTCCTATCCAACGAATCGAAGGCAGCCCTGATGTCAAGAAACATTACGATTGTTGGCCTTTGAAAAGTATGACGGTGTTCTAACATTTGGTGGAGGGTGAAGATATGATCAATACATCCTCCACCAGAACGAAACCCAGCCTGCTCGTCACGAGTCAATCTTTCTCGGGTTTTGAACAATCTACGAAGTATGACGGAAGCCAATAGCTTGGACGCAATCGGAAGTAGACTTATCCCCCGATAGTTGTAACAGGAACGACGTGAACCCTTTTTAAAGATAGGGACAACTATCGACTCATTCCATGACGTTGGTACACTCTCTAGCTCCCAGACCTTTGTAAACAACGTCGTCAATTCCTTAGTCAAAAAGTCACCACCATCTTTAAAAAGGGCCGGAGGTAAGTCATCTGGGCCAGGTGATTTGTAGCGCTTTAAGAGTTGGAGTTCCTTGCGGACTTCCTCCTCATTTGGTGGATCATTCGTCACCGGCCATGGAGGGCAGGACCGTCTGACCGATGTTGCCGGAGCAGCAGGCCAGTTGAACTGCCCTTCGAAAAATTCTGCCCATCGTCCAAGACGTCGATGGATGTTAGTGATTGGCATCCCATCATCCTCGTAGATTGTTTCGCTCACACCAGACTTCTTGCTGCCAGTGGCTCGGATGAGTTGAAGGAGCTTCCGGTAATTACCATATGCAGCGGCTGCTTCCAACTCATTAGCACGCTCCGACCACCAGGCTTCTCGGTCCTTACACAAGCTTTGCCCAATTTCACTACGTGACAACCTTCGTTTGTGGTCAAACTCACGGTTACCCGGAGTAGACCGACTGGCTTCAATGAGTTGTAAGGAACCAGAAGAAACCCAGTGCTTAAAAGCGGGACGTTTCGCAAACCCACAACTGACTGTACCCGCCATTTTCATGGCGTCATGCAATTGCAACTAATGCTCATCTATACTTTTCGGTGGAATGGTAGCTAGCCTAGAAACTAGCTCGTTTCGATACTTACTAGCAACAGAAGTTGCAGCCAGCTTGCTAACATCAATCCGTTGGAGGCGATCACTTCGTTGTCCACTGAAAAGTAAGGTAAGATTGGCGCAGACCAAGGCATGGTCAGAGTCCAGATAGGTACTCCAAAAGGAGCGGCAGTCTTGTACACAACCACGCCAGCGGTAGCTGATCGCGATGTGATCAATCTGAGTTCAGGCTTGAGATGCAGAGGGAGGACGCCAGGTGGCACATCGGCGATGACTGTGCCGAAAGTTAGTGCTAGCCAGAAACAGGTTGTAGTCTGCGCACAGTTACAGTAGACGGTCCCCGTTATCTGTCCTGCGACCAACAAGTCCCCATCAGCCACCTAAACGACCCTCTTATGTGCCTAGACGCCCGACCTGAGCATTCAAGTCTCCGGCTAGTACTACAAGATCTGTCGAACGCACTTTCTGGAGAAGAACAGATAACTGGTGGTAAAACTCATCCTTGATTGCATCCGGGCTGCAATCTGTCGGGGCATAGGCGATGACGAAAAGATATCGTTTCTCACGCCGATTTCTTCTCACTTTGATGAAACTCTCTAATCTAACAGCACATAACCGACTGTTAATGGGGATCCAATCGATTAGTGCTGCCTCAGCTCTAGCGCTTAGTGCGACACCAACGCCAGCAAGACCAGACGAAGATGCCACAGGGTCTCCGGATAAGCGCACGTAAAACAAGCTTTTCGAAGCGACAGATGGAGAGCGAATTTGTAGTACTTCACCAGAGTCTTGAATACGGGTCTCGGATAGACAACAAACATCGATATTAAGACTTTCCAAAGACATAGCCAGCCCTATCTGTTGTCCGACCTGAATTAGTATGATAACATTGAAGGCAGCCAGTTTAAATGGTGCTCGTGGTTCCGGAAAAATTGCTTCAGTATTCGTATTTGGTGGTAACATACAATTTTCAACCGGACAGTGACTCGAGAACGTTTAGATAGAGTCGAATTTCCACCATAGACGAGCTGCTGTATAAGTCGAAAAAAATATGTATAAACAGAGTGGGAATAAAGGAGGGTGAATAATGACGTAGTAAATAATAATAATAATAATAATAATAATAATAATAATAATAATAATAATAATAGCAATAATAATATTTGAATCATTTGAATGTTCGCCGAAGCAAGAGAATTAGTTTCCATGATCATAGACAGTTCAGTTCATTAATTGTGTGTGGGCTGTGATGCTGCCAGAGTGCCCAGACCGAAGCAGGTGGTTATCTTAGGGGGCCACACTCCGAGCCTTTGACCTAAAGGTCTAACCCACAAGGCAGTGGAGCATCGTAAGGAGATGCAGTCCCATGGTAGCCGGTGACCGAAAATTGGTTCATACGCCATTTGTTCCCGCAGGATACTGGTGCCCATGTGCACCATAGATTTGGAATCCGGTTAAAGCGCCGGACATTCGCTTTTCGTCCTCTCATTTTCGTAAACACCCCCGTCACGAGAAGGCAGTGAGTAGGACTTCCCTGGCAGAGGCTGTATACGCTCGGCTGTGTGAGAGTATTTCGAGAGAGAGAGGGCGAACCCACCTCGCTCTCGGCCATACCAGGGCATTTGGGGGCATTCATGTAATAATTAATCTATTTACACTTTATCCTCAATGAGACTATGATTATTCTATGTTGAGTAACAGAAATGCTGATCACTGTTACCAATAATTTACTTAGTAGTTTAATTACCAGGAAGGTGATTCCCATATAAACAAATTCCCATGTGTTGGGTGGTTGAAAGCAGTTATAAACAATAAAGCATACCTGCAGTGTTGAGAGAACTGATGCTCCCTGGTGGATTCTACCCAGGGTCACCCACAATGAGGGACTTTTCCGCTGACCTATTCCGCCCGTGACTGACCTAATTCAGATTCTTCCTTGTTTATCATACGCACCTGTTAAATGTAAGTAGTGGATATTATGTTGATTCATAAAATTTTTAGTACAAATATCCGTATCATGTCAAAATTGAAACATTTATTAAAAAGTACTTCTCAAACGTCCATACATTCATTCTTTGTTTAGACTAGTAAATATATTACTGACATTAAGCTTTTTAATTTGCTATAAATTATTAATTACAAATGTAGTAAGATTATGATCAACTTTTCTTTTTTTAAATCTTTTCCAGTTATATTTTTATACCTGTTATGAAGTTCAATTTATCGTCAAATTATAAACATTCATTACTATTAATTCCCTTTCCTATCATTAAAAATTGGTTAGCGCTTACTTTATCCTATTCATTTGTTCTTTTATATCATGGAATTGATAAAACAAATGGTAAATGTCTTTTTTTTTTAAAATTGTATTCATTTTTAAATGCTTGGATCAAGTTGTCACAATTCAGAGCTGACAATGATCTATATTGAGAATCACTGAAATTAAGGTTGTTGTCTTGTTAAGACAATTTCCATAAAAAGCTTGTATTTAATAAAACATAAAAATTATTTAGGTTATCTATGTAAACTATTGGATGTCAGTTTAGCGTTCACTGCGAGAGATGAAGGTCCTGAACTCGACTGAATATGAGGTCGGCGATATGAACTATTGAGGAGTCTCATACAAGGACAAAATAGCTGTTCACTGCTTCCTATTGTTCAATGGTCGTCTAATTGGGATTAGTTCGTAATGTAAGCTATCAAAAAAATATAGAATTAACAATTAATTTTCATTCTGTGTAACATAATTATATTGTTAAATATTTTTATTTGGTCCCAATTATTGACACAAGAACGATAGATAAATGAACTTAGATGATGTATCGTTACACTGAGATAAAACCTTTATGGTAATTTCAACGTAGAGAAACACTAACTTGTTACCATGTGTGTAATAGTATACGTTCAGTGCCTAATTGAATTTTCTTATCCAAGTTGAAATAAGCTAAATAGTTGGGTAAATCAATGACCTTATTTTCTAGACAGCTTCAATTGTTAATTTAAAAAATCGGGTTTCAAGTACTTGTCTGTACAGAGTGAAGATATAAATACACATAGATTTCCCTGAACTGTGCGCAATAATTACTTCATTCCTATGAATCTATGCAGTACTTACACTGAAGTGACCACATAATATGGTCACTGTCATCGAATAATTCGACTTAATCATTCTAAATAGAAAATACAGGTTCTACGATTATCAAAATGATTAAAATTGATGAATTCCACACTTATTTAATCATCTCGGCAAGACTCTAATTTATGGATGAACCTTGAAGGAATCTTAAATGACCTTGACAATTATTAGCCAATCAAAAGACAGTATTAAGTAAAAATATATTGTAAGAAACTAATGAATTACATGAATTACATGATTTAAAAACTTGTTAAGGTTTGATAAAGGTTCAGATGTTCTGAAATCATAATGCATGCGATATAGGAACTCGTCAACATGGCTCCATAACAGTCGTCCTCTAGAGCCGTGGTACGGTCTTAAAAATTCCTTCAGTCCGGACCACATGGCTTCAATATTATTAGTATGAACGCCGGTTGTAGGGTCGACGAAATGGCGCTTGTGCACTACGACATGATGCACATACCCAAGTCCATATAGGCATCTATAAGCTCTCCAATCATCCGTATATACTGTAGTGCCCGGCTGCACGTATTCCTGTATAATTGGTACTATTGTGCTTGCTTGCCGGTTTCTGACCCTCTGAAAATGCCCTTTTTGCGTTGATCGATCATAAATTCCAAGTACCTGTCAAGTATATTTACGGAAGTGCTACTTACCCAATCTTCCTTGATGCTACGTCCGCTGTTGTATTTTCGCTTTCTCACTACTGTTTCATCTATCTCCTCATTACATCCTAATCCTCCGAATGATTGGTGTAGACGTGTCATTTTAATTGCACACATGTCACGACAATACTCATACCACTGGACTGCTGAAGCTTCGGTAACATCTGCAAACGCCGCAGCCAGTGTTACTGGTGTCTTTATTATCCAATTTGCAACTATTATCATGATCTGCCTCAGTTTCAGTCGCGATCGAGCGAAGAAAGTTCCCGTTCGAGCAGACGTTTTCCTCTAACATAAAGAACAACGAAATACAATCTCATCACGGTAGTCTGCACACTTTACTGCAGTCATTTGATAACCGCAGTCACAGGTATAGGAACTTCCTAGTAGTCTCATCTCTTTTAGCCTCTCAATAATCACCTCTTCTCTAAAATCCGCTGTAAACTGACCGTATGTGAACATCAAGTGTTGAACTTGGCTACGTGACCTTGAAATTGCTCAAACGCTTCTGATTGGCTCGTCCATAAATTAGAGTCTCACCATCATCTCCAGTCATAATGAAAGGTGAATGTAGACCAATTTTCGAAAATAGTTGAAACTTCGAAGATAACTGGAGTATGGTTGATATAGGTTATTTTAAAAGTTCATCCGAATATTTGATTTACCAGTAGTTCACAGACTTTAGCTAGACAAAAGGATTTTTGAGCAAACAACCAAAATTATTTATCATACCTATGAGTTGAATATTACTAATCTCATATTCACTATAACATGGAGCACCATTCATCTTAATATCCGCAGAAAAGTTTTAATTGTCCTTACAAGAAGACCAGTGATACTTGGATATGTGTAAAAAAGGTAGATTGATAGTCATCAGAAACTTTTTGAGTCATAAAACAGTTTATGTTTCTATACATTGTCACTGGTTACATAAAAATCTTATGCATTTCATTCTCTGTTCACTCATTTAAACGACAGCTTAGGATTTCTGGAGATCGTAGTGCAGTGAACAAGAACACCAATAGGGACACCCGGATGTATCGAAACACAAAATTACAGAACATTTTAGTAAAATTTGAGAACCATACAGTAAATACTTAATTTACAAAATATCAATCAATTGTCTCAAACTGGACTGTTTCTTTTTCAAATAACAGTCCATCGTCCTAGTTTTCATTGTCCCTGCATTTCCATACCAATTTCTCTTCGTCCCCGTTCTTTCCTTCTCGATCTTCTACTGAAATACATTCTATTCCTGACTATCGTTATATACTACTTATGTGGATATAAATAGCTCACACCGCAGTAGTATTTAAACAGTTTGATTCGCGAGTCAATCTAAGCTAGATCAATTTCAGGATTCCTTCATTGCTCGTTTCAAGTAGCTGGTGAAATCACTTTTCAACATAGGTTAATGCTGCATAGTCAATCTGCATAGTTATCTTTTTTTGTTTAACTGCTTACATGGCTTTAAAAGTGTATTTCATTCGCCGATGTTTCATTTAGTTGGTTCGAATTTCGAAAGTATGCGTGATGCAAAATCACAGAATATTGTACACGCATTATCAGCATCTCCAATATTCCCAAATGAGTTGACATAAATATCTCTGAATAAAACTAATTTATCCAAAAATAATTCATCATAAACTGAGACTAGTTTAAGAACCACTGAAAATCAGAAAATATTAAACACCTGATTTGTTTTCGTTCAAAGGATCGTGATAGTGATCAATCTCTCGTAGCTCAACTGTAATCAAGCCTAGAGCATCCAAATTTTGTGGTGATTACAATGACTTTAGACCTCATAGTAAGTCAGAATCCGATATGATGCATCTCGTCGATGAGGACTATCTTTGAGTCGAATAACCTAACTAACTAATCATTATAAATGTGACAAGTTTAGAGATGAATTTCTCAAGTTCCAGTAAAAGCTGTGGCCCCTGTGGAGTCAACAATGTTAGAGGTTGAGCTGATACTGATTGAAGTCATTCGGCACTAGTGCCATTATTTCATTAATTTTCGAATAAGTTAGATCAGTGATCTAAAAACAGGATCATATTGATCACCAGAACTCAATATCTTATACACTTTTGATAAATCCCACCCTTTGATGATCCAAATGTCTTGTGAAACATGGTTCATCATTTTATGCCGGTCCGTAATTAAAACCGAAATCATCATACTGAAAAAATCTTTAGAAAAGTTTGATCTATCTGTACATTTATTAAGAGTTAAATTGATGTTAAAAGGTTTGAATTCATGGTTACGTAAATAGCACATGTGTTCATAATCGCTGCTGTAAGGTCTATACTAATAATAATGCGAATCCTTAAACTTCTTTTTGATTATTTTTTCTTCATGTAAAGCAATTTGGTTATCGACAAATTTACTGCTTTTATTTTCTGAACGTTCTGTGAAATGGATTTATCGATGTACTAATCTTGGATTAGAAATTGTACGTCTTTAAAAAAAAATAACCATCATTTTTCCTGTGATTAATATTGAGTAATTTTGCTTGATTTGTTAGAAGAGTTTGCATTTGCAAAAACATTGATCATTAAACTTTTGTTCGATCATAAATCCTTTCTTCCGAAATATTTGATTGACTAACCATTTTCATGAAGATTATACTGATAGTCATGTTATTGTCGAAGTGGTATCAGTATACATTTTACTGAGTTTGGACTATTATTATTTTGGGTTTTATGCGTGCGAAACTTGTTATGTGTAAGCTACAAAAAGTCCAGATTTCTCAGTAATATAAACACTAAATCGCTGTACTAAACTATTTTCAGTATAAAGAGACTGTGGAGATTGTTGGGTTTTCCAGTTTTCTATCACGAATTGACCATAGTTGGACAACCACCAGAGATTAAGAAGCACTCAATGGTTGTTTATTCTAAGTGTGGGACTCTTCATCAATGCACATCCACAAACCTAACAGAAATTGGTTCGAGCATTGTAGTGAGTATCTAAACTAACTTTAGTCAACGAGAAATAAGGGGCGGATGGATTCTTACGGTTTTACTCGGCTTCAAAATGTCCCCTAGGTGGTGATAAAATTTCATTTTGCTCTATGATTTGGAAATTCTTCAACCGTATCTTACATTCTTTTACCATTCAAACAAACGTTAATTCATCCGATAAAGTTTTAATTTATATTCATAATATATGCAGTCAAACTTACTAATCACACTAGAGTTGAATTTTTCTCAAGCTCCAAAAGATTAACTTGTTCAAGAAGATGAGAAATTGAGAAAATATGGGAGGGAACTTGTCTAAGAGTGGAAAATTAATGTCATAGATTACTCAGCATGGCCACTGGTTGGTATTCAGGCATTATTTCGCCATCTCAGTCGTGTAGGCCATTTGCGCAGCGAATATTTCTAAACGTCAACACTAGATAACACAGATCTATATCTCACAGAGAGAACCAGTTTACTCGATATTTACAATATCGTTTACTAAAAAGTATCGACTATAACAAAACTTAGTTCCAGGGATTCTTGTTTATTGTCTCTAATCACCAAAGATTACCCAATCATAACAAAAGAATAAGCTCATATCACTGCATTATTAGTGCGACGTCAAGAATTTACAGTTTGATTTTTGTTGACCACTAAACTCTGATGGTAAAAGCTTTAGTGATAAACATATCATCCAAAACACTTGAGAATTAACCAAATTTTATTTTGGAAATCTTTTTATAAATGACTGTTTAGCGTCATCAGTTGTCTGATAGATGGATTCGACGTCTTTCACTGTTACTTTGTGCAACCAGTGGAATTTTTTCAGTTTTGGGAAATTTGCACTTCCTCTTCGGTTCGAAAGTTGCAAATCAACTAGCTGTGTGGTTGATATATGATCCAAGTTAGTTGTACTATTTTTTAATTGCATTTTAATGGCTATGGTAACATTAAGACGTCGTCCGTAAGCGTAAAACATGCTTAGTGGCAAAATCCCCTATAAAAAAACTGGACAAAAGTCCATTTGTTTTGAAAATATTTTTCCACGTTTACTTTCAATGATGTATTTGAAGAGTAACTAGCTTATTAATAAATTACACTGTTTCGTTTATTAATGTGTACAATAGGTTGCTCTGTCAGTAGGTCACCATTAGTATACGTTAACTTGTAATGTATGCCTTGTTTCATACTAGTCCATGATTTTTGGAAAATAGGCTTGATCACGAACTGGGAACAGAATAAAGACAAGATGTAATTTGACCTATGTTCTGTGAAATTTAAAGATGAGATTTTTGCTTTTTAACAAGTTTGTGGTATTACCTCTTCTGTGAAGAGGGAACTGAGGTTGTAATCTAACGTCCTAATCGTAAAAATGTGAGCAGAATAGAAATTTTAAAAACTAGTGATTCACCAGACAGATTAGTAGATAAGTTATGCGCAAGTAAAAGACATGTTTTAGATGGATAAACTAACTGGGTATCTATAACTCGAATAACTTAAAATAAAAGCCATTCAAAGTTGGATTATTCTGATGTTTCAGTAGTTTTCATGATAAACTGATTTAATTCGAAAAGCTATTGCAAAAATGATATTGGATGTAAGTGATAATTTGAAATAATCTCGACTATTGAAATTAAAACGATTCCATCACTTCGACCGGAAAACTGGTCTGAGCGTCTTCAAGGAAATATTTCCTTATATATACTTGGCACCCGATTTATGGCACACTATTCGTCCAAATTTTGATGAATGTTTATATAAATGAATAAGTAATGAGCTTTATTTATTTCTTCTTAGTAATACACTCTCTGAGGCCAATTATATCCGATCACATTTTCTGTATTATGGGCTAAAGAAAATTCACCACGTAAAACATCATTAATGTTGCATAATTAGGTGATAATCCTTGAAAACTGTTATTCACACAAAATATCAGATTTATTGTAAAAGATGCCTCAGCTTTCATGTATAATTCAATCCAGTTTGAGAGATAACGTAAAGCATGATGTTTGACAAATATGAAATAGATATTTATGTAACTCATGCTAATTTAGTTTAACAAGGGTGGTGGTTAAGGTAGAAGTGCGACTGTAGAATTATACCTTTAATCATGATACATATTTTTGTATTATGAGCCCAAGACAGAGTCGGTTGGAGATTTCTGGTGGGTGTCCTGTGCTACACGATGGGTAACAGGCGTAAGATAAGATGATACATATTATTCCAAGAAACAGGATTACATTTAATAAAACGGTAGTCCATATCAAATACATATTTATAAATTCATCAATTTTGTCCAAATTTATCCAACATTGCTTAAGCCTTTCTAACATTCAATCTGATATACCTTTACTAGCATAGTTAATGACTTGATCTGTGCTTATAAATATTTATTTATGGTTCTATTTTAGCTCTACGTTTCACAGTATTTGTGTATTTCTATTGCCAAATGAATTTTGTCACCGATTTAAGAAGTCTATTCCCATCGATCAGACCACATTTTGAGAAAAAGATTCAATGATATACGAAAATAATAATGGCTATAAATGGATTACTTGTAAGATGAACGGAAATGCAACAGTTAACGCCAATAGTTTGTACATTAAATCCTAAATTTTTTTAAATGGATGATTGATCTAAACATTTCTTAATTTTATGGCTTCAATCTGCACAATATGCATAGAAAGCAAATTCCAGAAACACTGTAGATGTAGGGATAGGAGAGTTATTTCTAACTATGCACGGCATATATTAAGTGGTCATTGGGTGGGATCTCTAGAAAAAGTGTAAAAATTTGGGTATGAAAAGCAAACCAATTGGCACAAAAACGAAACTCAGTTTAATGTATATTTTGTGCCGTTTACTACATATACTTAGATGTTGTTAACCGGAACAATACGATTAAAGAGACTGTGAGAAAGAGAAATATACAAGTGCTATAATCCAAACGGTAAAGCAGTGACATTCATAATAGCGCCATTGAGTTATCTGAAAGAAATTTTCTATAAAAATAGAGAACTTTCTTGCTTTAACACAGATAACTTAATGATAAGCCTCAATAATCACTAAATCGCTCAATACTTTTGCATTTTGAATGATGGTGAAGATTCTCAGCCCTGGCGGATGCCTTTACTAGTGTTTAATATGTAAATACTGTACGTCAAGTTATGTCAGCATCTTGATACATTTTAATCAACAGTAAGAATTTTAAAAAATACGATGTAATTGTAAATATTTTAGTCTATCTACTCCTAAATTACCTGATGCACTACATTTCCAAGTTGCTTAACACTAAATGTCAAATTGCACCTTCCATGTGAGAATCAAATGCTAACAGTGGACTAATAAAATAAGTGAGGCATGTCAATGTACAATTTTTAATTATACAAAATTCAACATAATAATTTACACTACACTTGTAATTTACATGGGATTTACATATATGGACAAAGGGAATTTTAAAATGGAAGAAATCGTCTGTTATAACTAAAGTCATTTCTGAACAGGTAGTTTGTCTTTATCTAAAGTTGGTGTTTCGATGATCCATCTAAAAAAGAAGTTAAAAAGTTATGATAAACATGATAATGTTTTACATAAAAGAATTCCATATCTACATTAAGTGCATAAATCAAGGGTTGAAGAATGGATGAAAATAATCTTAATCAAAAAACATTCACAATACAAATGTATTACGACCACGAATAAAAGTACTGAACATCTTAAAATATAACATGGGGTTTTATCTGTATTGTTTAAGGATAAGCTTCCATATATAACTTACGGACATGAAAGTAGCTTTGAAAGTGCCTTTGTTCCCCAAAAAGCAGAACCTTGATGCCATAAAGACTTACAAAATCCCCATCGCTTAAATTTCATTTCTTCATTTGTGGTTTGATCCGAGGAATGTAAACGAGACTTTATTGGATGAAATTGCACTATGCGATGAAATTGTATAGCACGGGACATTGACTTCGGGGGTTGAATCTAATAAAAAAAGGTTTACCATATAATCGTTTGTCAGATGATAAAATACACATTAATATTTGAAAAGCATAAATATGCTTTGTAAATTACGTGCAATATTCAAATGTTTTACTTGGCTTACGTATGAGAATTAAACGATTATTTTAATACAAATAGACTTTATCTTTGATTACCAAACTATATTAATGACAGTAAATGGATGTAGGTTATCGGCTAACACATAATATTTATTTATTTGTTTGAACACATATACACTGGTACAAGGTTGAACCAAATACATATGCACCATACAAAAACGTGGTTGTGAAGAGATAGAGAATCAGGGTTTTCCAACTCCCCTAGGTGGATCCTCCGTACCCACCAACCCGGTTAAAGCTCCTGACATTTGCTTTCCGTCCTCTCAATCTCGTGAACAATACCTCTACCTCGAAAGAGCAGTGAGTAGGACTTCCCTAGCAGTGACTGCATACTCTATACGAATCGGGAAGTAGCTGGATGAGAGATAAATCGGCAAGACAATGAATATAAAAGGATTTTACTGCAGTGATATTTCAATAAAGGCGGAAATAGTCGATAATGTTGTGGAAAATTACAAAACAGGCTAATTAGATTGTGATTATTAGCGGAAGATAAACAACTTGTAAGTTTATTAAAGCATAAAAGGTTGTGTTGCCTGGTGCTTCAAAAAAATGAAACTTACACAAAAAATGTTCATCACTACATAATATGTGGAAACCGACACTAATCATCTAAGATAGGTAAGCTCTCAATAGCAATCTTCAAATAACGGTATAAAAAGGTTTCTCCAGTAGCTTAACGTGACTGAATTTTCATATTATTTTTCATTAAGTTTAGAACCTTTCAGAGCTTATGTTAACCATAAAAATATTTGATAAAAATTATGTCATTGTAGAGCGCAGTCAATTTTCGGTTTGTTTTTTTAGCAGACCATTGAAATAATCATTATTTTAAATAATCGAAATTCTGAATACTGAAAAAATCACCTAACATTACCACGAGTAGCATACTTGACAAAGGTCTCTTCTGTGTCTATTATCAGGATTCGAACTATCATATCGATCTGCAGCTTGGACAGATTTACCATTCATATTGGATTCATGTGGACAAACAGAATCAGGAGGTGGAAATCCAAGACATAAATTAATATCATCACCACGAAACATTATACCCTGGGGATAGTGTTCCAGTCCGAAACAATGACCTAATTCATGCCAAACAGCACCCAATCCTGTAGCAAAAGCCGCCCAGTAAGTGTGTCTGACAAAGGAACCAGTGAAAAACATCATGTAAATTACGGATTGAGAATCATGAACAAAGTAAAATTAATTTCGATTTATCAAATGAACAGTTATAGTAGCAACTGCTATGAACTCCCTTTAAATAAGGTCCAGAAATGGCTACAAAAGATTACCCTCAAACAATGGTGCAAATCAAGCTTTTTCATAGGTAATGCTTCGGTTTGGGCACCCGGGCAGTATCACAGCCCTCACACATATCGAATGAGATTTGTGTGGCGCATATGTATTTGGTGCTTCCTTGTACCAATGTCTATGTGTTAAAATAAATATAATAAATAATATAACAAATACTGTTCAGCAAACTGTTTTTGTACACACTAATTTGAATTCAAGTTACAAAATGATAAAAATTATTCAACAGGATGTAGGTGGAGAATAAAACTGTTAGGTCGGTTTGGTTGACTTATGTAAATAACATCAAATGTGGAATCAGGTTGAATTTTTTCAAATATAACAGAATTTATACGAATGGATGCTTTGAACAGCCCATTCAGACTTGGTTCAACAGAGCCAAGTAAACTGTAATATGTACAATAACAGCTCTTATCATACCTGAACGAAGTCTGTCTTGTCTGACCATTAAATGTGTTATTTTAATCTGACCAAATATTCTATGATCTTCCTATGTACTTTGTTATCTGTAATCTTGTTCACCAAGTCATGTGCGCTCTTACGTATGCGTGCCTTATGTTTGTCTGTCATTTATATTTTAATTGGACTTCTGTAGTTTTTATACTGCTTATTTTAGTTAAATGATCAGGTGCTCATTATTTGTTGAGTTGGCTGTTTCTGCCAATCTAATTCACATCCATTTCCTTGCCCCACTTGTTTTTAATCTGCATTATCAAACTTCAGAAATATGTGTTCCTCAAATGCTTTTTGTATTCACATTTTCATATCTATGTTGTTATTAACAGAATTTGTCGACAGAAGTAAATAGGACCAATATTTCATCAGAATTATTGATTCGAACGTACTGGAGTTAGACAACGGATATAACAGTACAGTGGTTCCATTATAGATAATAACTTATCGTTTAAGAGGGAAATAATTTACATACGCATCTCACGACTACAACTCACCGATAAGCAGTGTCATCCATCAATGTTGGATCAACAATTCTTGTATTACCCAAAACTACCTGCAAATCTTTAAGCGTTTCTGGCCAAGCATGTAAAGTCCCCGTTCCAAGTAAGGCTAAACCCCCTGTTCCTATTCATAAAAAAAGTAAAGTGGACGTTTCACAAATCAAAATAATTCTGACACTATCAGATGGGGATCTAACCCACAATTTGACAAGACAAGAATATTTAACCAGAAAAATCTAAACTGAATCATTATGTATGGATCAACTGAATATCAATAGAAAAAAAGCTTGCTAAAATTTACTTTATGCATTATTTTGATAGTTACATGCGTCAAACGTAATTTAATGAAACTAAGTGGTCAATAAAACCACTACTTTCGAGCAGGGACTACTGATTGCAACTGGGTTCCCTCACCTGATTTAATGGAGTGATGTGGATTCTGTATTATAATTTAAACTATCATCCTGATGAGGATGTTAAATCCCTAAGTACGATTTACTAAGAAATTAAGTGTAAGATCATACACTGACTTAATGCGAAGTATTTTCATTTGAATTTCGCACTAACTGGGTGTGGGTCTGGTTCGGTATAATATCCACTTCTATTAATTCTGGGTGACAATTCAGTGTGACTTCTTTATATAATAATCACTGCAAGTAACTTTCAGGAGTCTTACATTGAAAAATGGACACTAAACTTATAACCGTGGTATTTATCAAACCTGTTAAACTCGAAATAACCAGAATCATTAGTGCTTTTTCACTGGCGGTTATATTCGTGTGCAATTTTTTTTCAAACTGGGGAGTAGATTATTTATCATGTAAATTACTGGATCATTAATCGTTGACTTGTAAGTGAAGTGTATATTTGTGAAGTTCAGGAAAATACGTAGCCCAATTATCGACCAGTGAGTTTTGGGAAATGCATGTTCACTTTCTTTTGCGTATTTCTTTTCAAATTTTTTCCTCAACATTACAAACCATAAAAATCATTTAAACTTTTTCTAATGTTTCAGTGATCTATTTTGCTTCAACTAACCAATGAAGTTATACATTTTCACCAGTTCAAGTTAACGCTTCTTATCAAACATAAAGATTCAACAGATAGATATGCTATTTAATAAATACAACTAGGTCTTAGGAATTCTTGTAGGCAATGGATTGCCATACATATCCGAAGGCGAACTAAATCAGTTATCAGTCAGCATCAGAAACATTGCCAGCTGTAACTAATTGCAGTTTCAATTGATTAACGATCCACTTCCACAGTTAGCTCATTTTTAGTTTTCACTTTACTTATATAAAACTAGTATAAATGGTGATCAGCTGTGAAGAACTAGGTTTATTGCTGAAACTACAGCTAACTTTCAGTATCGGTCGTGTCTATTTTAATAAATCAATCTTTTCTATAATAATGACATAGATTCTTGGTTTATCAACCCAGTAAGGCCCGAAAACTTCCCTTCGTATACTCTCCTGATCAACAAATGCGCCTATCAAGTTTCAGTGCACAGACTGGTTCGAGTGCTTATCTTTATCTCAACTTTGTCTCGCAAATCACTTTGATTTTGGATTTAAATCAAACGAATATAACTCGTAAATCCTCTTGGTATCGCTGGTATGTTCTTTTCACTAACAGTCATCCCATAAGTTGGTGATTTCAACTATCAGCACCAATAAAAGCGAAATTCCACAAAAGGTAGATCTAATGTTAATCTTACACTACCAAGAATTGAAGCAAACCAGCGGTGTATTTTAAGAAAACCATCGAATAACATATTTGATTTAACAAAGCAATATAAACAAGTATCCACGTTTGTCACCCTATATTTCGAACGGAACGAAATATATGCCCTCCATTCAACTAAACGACAATTGGTGGGAACCTTCAAAGACTAGATCCTCTAGAACTCTGTGTCTCATTTTTAAAGAGTGATTGTTTTAGTCAACAAAATTTTAGGAAAGAATAATTTTTCGGAGTATATTACAATAAAAACATAAACCTAAGGGGATTCTTACCGAGAGCGAAATGAGCTGTTGTCCGAAGAAGTATTTCATTGTAACTCAGGAATTCGGAATTAATTTTCTTGGGAGGGTGATAACGTGTACAAGCCATAAAAGCAACCCATTTTGTGTTCTCGAAGTTATGAGGATATTTTTCGTAGAGCTCGTATGCCAACTTCTTCCACACATCTTCGGGAGTATTACTATTAACAAACGTTTTACTGAGACTTGAGTAGTGACAATTACAACAGGCTTCGGAAGACCAGTCTGAAATATTTCGCGATGATTTACGACTGAGTTCTTCCTTAATTAAAAAAGTGCATCTCATTCCAAGTTCAGACAGAAAAGCTTCTGCAGTCAAAGTTTGCAACAATCTAATTCCTAGCCCAATACGTTTACAAGCACTTTCTTTCGTGGGAACCATTCCTGCAGGAGCTTGGAACCACCCAGTATCATCAGAACATATTACATAAATAGGCCTGATAGTATATGGAGAGTCACGATTATGTACATACACTATTCGAAACTCAGCGAGGTGGTGTTCACACCTTAGTTGCAAGGTATTACATCCTATGGACAATGGGACAAATACTTTGAACATTGATTCGCATACAGTCCACTTCAATTCCAAATCTCTTTTATGATCATTGTGAACAGAGACGAAAACTGATTGACATTGACAGTAAGGGTCAATATTTCCCTTTAACTGGAAGAGTGGGTAATTTACTGTGAGTAAATCATAAGCATTCAATATATTGAACATTGAGAATCTTAGTGGGAATTATACTGAGATATACAGTATTACTGTTGATTAATAAACCATTTCTGCATACAAGCATTTGTTTACGATTGCATTTGAAAGAAGCTATATGAAATATCTGCAGTTGCCTCTGAGTCATGAAGTCGTCAATAGCGATTTCAACCAAAATAGCTGGTAGCAAAAAAAAAAGAAAATTAGTCTCAATGCATTGAAAATATTTGAGTGAAAGCATTTGCGCAAAAAACTTCTGTGCAAGTGAATTTGGTAAACTGAGGTGTTTTCCGACAGGAATAAGTTCCAAATTACGAAATGTGTAGGTTTTCATTTGAAAACGATCAAAGCAACTAAAAGTCTGAAGCTAATTCTAGCAGGTGAAAGCAGACCCAACATAGTATTTCTGTTTACTCAGTCGATCCCCTCAGTGAAGTACAAAACCATCACCAGAAGTTATCTTTAATTTGATGAAACAAATGGTAAAATATACCTATTACTATTGAAACTGTACGATGAAATTGACAATCCAAAGCATTCGAAACCCAAGCTGCCAACTTTGGGGAAAATTTGGTCCATTTTGGGGAAGCCTCTATAGTAAATTTTGGGGAAATGAGACGAAAAACCCAAAATTTCCCCAGACCTGGAGAAATCCCCAAAATTTCCCCAAAGCTGGCAGCTTGGGAAGAGATTACTTGATCGTTTCAGAGGCATTTTCAGTAACACTAATAGAAACTATCAATCTTCCGATCCCGACCGTTCAGATAGTTCTGGACGGAATAGAAGCTTTCGTCTAACAGGTTTCTGTGTTTAATAGCGATAGATCCCCGATGCCTTTAGGTAAGAGCCTATAGATATTTAATGATAGAAGAGTAGTAAATCATAGCCAGATACTGTCCGTACTCCTTAAGAATATGTCAAGTTTCCTCTTAAAGTGCTCCTGAGTAGTTGCTTGGACTAGCTCAGCCGGCAGAGAATCCAAGCACTTGACCGCTTATGATAAGAAGATGTGTTTACAGTCCGTTTCGTTGTGTTGTTTCCGGTCTCCTAGTATTACCCCTAAGGTTTGTGTTGGGAATAAGCTTAAATAGCGTTTTGGCACTATAGCTGGTGTCAGTTCGTGATGAAAAATCCGGCAAGACTGCAATTTATGGACGAACCAATCAGATTTACGTCAAAAAATCTTAGATATTAGCGCGAAATTCATTCACCTATTTGGCTAAATAGAGTTTTGGCATTATAGATGATGTCAGCTCGTGATGAAAACCTTGAATCTAATTTCTAACCATCAAATTTAAATCGCAATTCTAATTCCTCACACTGAATTGTAACCCTCATTTAGTCCTCGATAGTAGGTGGACATTCTCAAGGTCAATAAAGAGTCCTCAAATGTCGTCCATAATTTATAGTATCACAATATTGTGATAGTGTGAATGAACAAAATACAACAAGAAAAGATATCACAACTATGGACATAATTTTGGAGTTTCCATTTATATACAACGTGCAAGATACTTATTTGAAGTTAATCTCACCTCGGAAAATAACATTATGATACAGACAACGCTCTACGACCTTGAGAATGATAGTAGCACAGAACTTGTATTTCCTTCTTGCTATTTAAAACATCGTACAAAGATTTTCAAAACTGTCTTGATAAATTTGAGGTTTGATAATAGAAATTATGTATCATTTCTTCGGGTTTTTGTGTTCCCTTGTGACTATTATGGAGGATAATTGTACCAATAATTTTAGTAGTAATATTTATATTTTGAAATGTACATCACCTCTAGTATACTGATTATACGTTTTGGCATTGTGTATTCTTCTAAAGTTTAATGTGATCATGTATTTGAATAAACACTTGAGTTATTATGGCCAGACGGAACTGGCTGATTGTACTTAACTTGCATTGAACAGTCTGACACGAATATACTATAATTCAGATAAACCATGACATTTTCTAATTTGTAATAAATTTTGTTTGAGTATTTACCAATGGTTGCAACGTTTGGCCATCGTTTAATGCATTTTGACCACTAGGTAGTCAACTTTTCAGATTTCTAGCAGCGACAAGTAAGAACCTAAAGATGCCACAGGTATTTGTAGTTTGATAACGCTGTAAAATGTGATTGATAAACGAACCCACCAATAATAAAGGGAAACGCCCACCACCACATTAACTCCTTTTGACCTTGTACGACTGTATCTCTTTATTAACCAATCACAGTTTAATGTTCACTGTAAAACAATATTTGCTTGTTGACTCATTTTTCCTATTCTCTGGCTACTGTTCGGTAGGTTATTTGTCTCTTTTTCCCTGTATTAGTAGACTGTACTGTTCGTTTGCACACTAACGATGTTAATTTATGTTTTAGAAACAGATAAAGTTTATATAGCCAAATAGCTTACTTGTTCTGACTTTGGCCAAACCAAGACTCTGTACTCGACAGTCTAGAGATTAGTTTAGAGTTGAATCTGTGGGAAATCGCTTCCTACAAAGTTTAGAACAGTAGATTCGATATACCTACTGCAATGACTTCCAATAAACACTACGATTCCGATGAGATTCCAGAATTATCACCACATCATTCAGGAGTTTATGACGAGGATCAACTTGGAAAGAACGAACTCAAAAACAACAGCATGATAGAACTAGAGATAGCTAGGTTGCGCATAACCCAGTTAGAAAAGGAAATTGAACTAGAAAAATTACGCTGCCGGAGATATGAAGGTTCCGGCCAATCAGTAAGCAACAGTGAGAATACAATATTAAAAAATCTGTATTTACTAAGAAGAGAAGTCATAAGGTTTGATGGTACATCGACAAATTATTGGAATTTCATTGGAAATTTCGAAGAGTGAATTGGGAGTGAGAATATTGGATTTAGAGCTAAGCTAAATTACTTGATTCAATATTGTGACGGAGAAGCGAAAGCCGCTATCCTTCATTGTACTATACTAGAACCAGAGATAGGTTACCATCAAGCCCTAAAGCTTTTAGAAGAAACGTTTGGCCAAAAACACGTCGTAGCACGCACGTTTATCGATAATTTGTTAAACTTTCCCAATATAAGGAGAAATCAACCAGATGGTTTGAGAAGATTATCTCGAGAAATGCAAGCATGTAGTTTGACTCTCGAAAAGATGAATTACGTTTCTGATTCGAACTCTTCTAGAACTATTGAAACTATGGTTCTGAAATTACCAACGCACATTCAACAAGAGTGGCTAAAGGTAGCTTATAAGATTATCAGAGGAGGCAGAGAGCCTCTGTTTACCGATCTTGTTGAGTTTGTAAAGGAGCAAGCTGATATAGCTAATACTAGATACGGCCTACTCGTCAACCGCGGTAGTAATAGTGACAATAGAGATGTTGGCGTTTTAAAAAGGAAAATTAGTACAGATTACAATGCAGCAAGAATATCTTATGCGAGTGCTAGTGATGATAATGCTCTCTTACGCAGTTCATCTTGTTTGGAGTGCTCCAGTAATCATTCTTTAGATCAGTGTCAGAAATTTAAAGACAAGAATGTTAGAGAAAGGAAGGAATTCGTTCTTAGACACAAGTTGTGTAATGTATGCCTGAAGGCAAACCACGTAGCAAAAAACTGTCGATCGCCGAGGTCGTGTGCTGTCGAAGGGTGTGGCTGGAGACACCATACCCTGTTACATGAATTGCTGGAAGAACCAAGGAATACTAATATTGATGCACACATTAACACCCAGCTATGTACGGAGAAAAGTGTTGAGAGTGTACAGAAACAAGCAGCATTTGCAATAGTGCCTGTATTGGTAAGAAATGGAGAAAAGGTAGCACAGACTTGCGCTTTCTTAGATATTGGGTCGGATGCCTCTCTTATTACAGAAGATCTAGCTAAAAGGTTGAATTTAGAAGGAGAGCCTAAGACGATTTCGTTGAAAACGTTGGATAACCATTCCACAATTCAGTGTAAAGAGGTTCAACTAGAGGTTTCCTCCTTAGACTCGTCTTCGTCATCTAGAATCCCAAACGTACGGACAGTCGAGAGATTACCTGTGTTGCGCAGGACGGTACCAACGACGTCTCAAATGAAATCCTGGACGCATTTAAAAGACATAAGTTTTCCTAGAGTAGAGGATGAGAATGTCAAACTGTTGATCGGGTGCAACGCACCGAGTGTACACGAAATGAAAGAGATAAGAACTGGAAAGCCGAATGAACCATTCGCCGTGAAGACTCCGTTAGGTTGAACGCTGTTCGGTTCCTATAGGGAACCTTGTAAAAGCAATTGTGCACTCAACCACCTCTCAGCTAAAGAGGAATTAGAGGATTTCGAACTCCCAAGACACGATGATGAGTTCCTAGATCGATTTCGTACGTGCAAGTCGTGGTCCAGACTTCTAAGGGTATTTTCATACTGTAGACGGTTTATCACTAATATGTTAAACAAGAGGAACGGAAATCGTCTAACCTTAGGCGCGCTAAGTGCTGAGGATATCGAAAATTCGAAGAATGACATAATTAAACTAGTCCAAAGTGTCGCGTACCCGACCGAAAAAAGAATTCTAAACAGCTCACCTTTGACGCTCGGAGAAAACGCTTTTAGACAGCAAAAAGGTCAAGAAGCAATAAACGAGGTGAACAGGAGAAAAAAATTAATTCGTCAAAGTTCTATGAGAAATCTCAACCCTTTGATGTTTGAAGGCAAAATCCGCGTGGGAGAACGTTTGCAGTTATCATGTTTACCATTGGAAACCAAATATCCGATTATTCTTCCTAATAATGATTCTGTTACAGATATGATTATAATGCGTTATCATGTGATTAACGCACATGTTGGAGTTACTCAAACTCTGAGTAGTATTCGTGAGGAGTATTTGATTGTTAGAGGATATTCTACTGTTCGGAAGGTTCTAAAACGATGCTATTTATGTAGAAGGCTTTATCCTAAACCATGTTCCCAATTAATGGCACCGTTGCCGGAATACCGAGTAGAGACTCATTCGCCACCCTTTAGTCAAGTAGGTGTGGATTACTTCGGACCGTTCTATGCCAAACGTGGTAGAGTTGTCGAGAAACGTTATGGCTGTTTATTCACCTGCTTATCTATTAGAGCCGTTCACATCGAAATGGCCTACTCTTTAGATACGGATTCATTTCTATTCGCATTATCAAGATTTATTGCCAGAAGAGGATGTCCAAAGCGTATTTTTAGTGATAACGGCACAAACTTCCGAGCTGCAGATGCCAGTTTGAGACAGATTATACGTTCCTGGAATACTAATAAAATAGAAAACCACCTTAAAGAACGAGAATGTGAGTGGCGTTTTAACCCACCTAGGGCAAGTCATCGAGGTGGTGTGTGGGAACGCATCATAAGATCAATTAGAAGAATCTTAGGAGTGCTTTTATTCCAAAACGTGTTGACCGATGAAACTCTGCAAACCTTTTTAACTGAGGCGGAACGGATACTGAAAGACAGACCTCTGGTTAAGATGACAGATGACCCTCGTACCCTAGAAGCTCTTACTCCGAACAAGTTGTTGTTGATTCATAAAAAATTATCATTCGACGATGCTTCGGTGGATAAGACGTTATTATACAACAAAAGATGGAAAGAAGCTCAAAGACTAACCACCGCATTCTGGAATAGATGGATAAAAGAATAGTTACCGACTCTCTAAGCAAGAGACAAATGGTTGGACGTACACAAGAACTTACAACCGGGTGACTTAGTCCTCGTTAGTAACGTCGAAATGAATAGAGGTCTATGGCCTAAGGCTATAGTCGAGCAAGCAAGCTATGGCCCGGACGGACGAGTCCGCACGGCAAAGTTGAGAACTTCAAACGAAGAAATCGTCAGAGATGTGCGAAGCCTATGCCTGCTGGAAAAAGCCGGTTGTCTGACGGCGACGACAGCCCTGGACAATGGACGTGGTGCGCGTTTCGGGGGGAGTGTAAAATGTGATCGATAAACGAACCCACCAATAATAAAGGGAAACGCCCACCACCACATTAACTCCTTTTGACCTTGTACGACTGTATCTCTTTATTAACCAATCACAGTTTAATGTTCACTGTAAAACAATATTTGCTTGTTGACTCATTTTTCCTATTCTCTGGCTACTGTTCGGTAGGTTATTTGTCTCTTTTTCCCTGTATTAGTAGACTGTACTGTTCGTTTGCACACTAACGATGTTAATTTATGTTTTAGAAACAGATAAAGTTTATATAGCCAAATAGCTTACTTGTTCTGACTTTGGCCAAACCAAGACTCTGTACTCGACAGTCTAGAGATTAGTTTAGAGTTGAATCTGTGGGAAATTGCTTCCTACAAACGCTTTAACCAATAACACCTTCTATAATGCATTGTGTCCACTCAGTGAAGTCAAAAGTCAGAAGCGAGTAGATTCGGAGACATTTTTGACGGGTTATCAATATATTGACAAGCGGCTCACCTAAACTGGCCAGTGGTTGCAGGAGATGTCGAGCACGGCGTTCCTACTTGTAATCTCGTGCGGATGCATGGCCGATCGCATTCAACTAGTCCAATCCATTAAAACGAATGTTAAAGACTTACACAGCTTTTGATTTTAGGGATTTATTCACCGCTTAAAACCAAAATGG